CACCAGTCTGTATAAATTAGTGTGATGACTGTGTTTTTTTACCCAAGAAAAAGTAAAAAAAAATATATGGATATTATCTAAAGGTTTAAGAAGTAAGAAACAATTAAAGCATTATTATAAATACTAGTGAAAAAAGTGTAATAGAAGCAAAGTGTAATGACTGTGCCGCATCCGAACGTGCAAGCACGCGGTAGCATTTCTTATGTGGCTGCATAAATTTGATGGTTTGAAATGCGCTCCTCTTGATTGCTCTTGATCATGCATTTTAAGATCCTTGTCTACTGTATTGGCCCCGAAATGAAAGTTTTCATTTGCCTCCTGCCTCGCGTTTTTTAATATTTCCTTAATAATGTCTGCTTGTTCTCTTTTTTTCGCCAATCCTCGAGGCTTTACAGTGTTTGAAGCAGAAGATCGTTTTTTTGGCACTCAAAATGTAAGGGATAACACCTGATTTTAATTTTATTCTTCCCGATTTCATAGTTTTTTAAGTACATATATGTAATTTTCTGTCTTCTTCAACCTATATTAAAAAAATAGGAAACACTACTTGTAAGTATTAACTTACATTAAAGTGATCTTCACAACCAAATCTGGTGCCTCTGTCAGGGACAAGATCATGTCTTCGCATTGCATGCTGCCATGCTCGTCTTAACTTTATGTCGGACGGTAAAGAAATAAATAGTTTTTCTGGGGAATTTTTATTCGTATTTATGCATTCTGGCACTACACAACGTTTCCTTGTCTTTTTACACTAATATTGAATAAAAGAAAGACTTTAGTACTACACTACGTTATACCCTTGATTATAAACAAGGGTTATACTATAAATTTAAAACACACTTTCTGTAATCGGGCAAAGCAGACCTGTGCATTGTATCGAGCGCGGTCGCTAGCCGACCTGTGGTGCTATGACGTAGCGGCTGGCCACGCCCCTTTCTCGCGCAATAGATGTTTGTACGTGTTTTTGAGGTACTAAACGTACGAATAAAATTCTAATTTTTGGTAGATCTGTTATTTTTTAGTTGTACTTTCGATTGGTAAAATAAAAAAAAATTGTGGAACAAGCCCATTATTATTATAGATTCTCGGGAATGAAGATATAGTCTCTATATCAGAAGAACCTAGTTCTGCACTAGACTGCGAATGATATGTATTCGAACAACGAATTTTTGTCACTTATACATAAATTTTAAAATAAATCCCTGCGTTTAGCGGTCTAATGGATTCACACGAAATTACTTCAAAAATCGGTCCAACATTTAAATTGATGAATAGATACTTTTTAGCCGACCATACCCTATTGGTAGGCTATTAGGATCGGCAAAAAAAAAGTTTTTTTAATTTCACTCAAAATGAGTTACTTGGGTCATAAATGACGTAAATACAAAATATTTTAATGGTGTCTGTCTGTCTGTCTGTCCGTCCTAGAAAATAATTGGCCCTAGAAAATAATACCTTGTCTATAAATAAATAAAATCAGAGAAAAAATTCAATCAATAAAAGTTTACTATAAAATGCTTCAATGGACCACAAAATTACATTCGCAACAAAATCGCAAATCGCAACTCCTAAAAATTCAAACTCCCAGATAGAAGGTTATCACGGTAATTTACAAAATCACAATCGCAGCAAAATCGCAACTCGCAACTATAGTATATATGGTTGACTAAATTGAAACTGGCAGTCGGTTCCCTCTGAGAGCCAATCTAAATTCCAAAATATAAATAGTATGAAAAATCTGTTATTTCGACAACCATCGATAACGGACGGCAGTCGAGATACAGCGGAATCTGTTGACCTGGTAACAGTTTAAAAATAAGGTATATAAGCTTTTTTAACTAGTTGCGAGCATAACGCGTGGCGGTCGAGATAACCGGAGTGGGAAAGTAACTGCATCGGTCGATTGTCGATGTTAAACTCGCAACGGGTTGGAGAATAACGTACAGAACGTAAGAATTTATTTTAGATACGTTGTTTTTTAACCTGTTACGAGCACAACGGGCGGCGCGCGGCGGTCGATATAAGCGGAGTTGGAAAATAATAGTTTTTTCGCCTGTGTCGGTCGATCGCGGTGTACTTATATAACTAAAGGGTATTTTCCCTTTTCTAAAAGATATCGACAGTTTATTTCAATAGTTTGAAAGTGATTTTGTTTTCTCGAATTTCTGGTTATTTTTTGGTATCAATAATGCATGGTAAATAAAGATAATTATTAATTATAACTAAATTAAAGAAAATTGTCTTGATTAAGCTTCTGTTATTAGAATCGTTTTGAGCAAGTTTATTTTACTATTTTGCTTTCTGCTAACTCATTTTTATATATTTATTTACATTTTAAAGTTTTTGTTTTACGTTCAAGTTACTTACCTATTGGCAATAACGATATCTAGAAATTGCGAATGGCGATTAGAAATTTAGTGATTAAATTAATTAGAATTTTGGTGATTAAAAATATAAAGTACTTTTCAACTTCTTAAATAAATAAAAACTATTGAGTTAATTTTTTTTAATAATTATTTTCTTAATTATTAATAATATAATAAATATATTCTAAAAATTAAAACAAGATTAAGTACATTATTTTTTATTAAGAAATAAATATGAAGATTTTTATGATTTTACTACAACAATCGTATTACAATTTGAACAATGTGTATGCTCTTTTAGAGGTTTAAGATTAAAGTAAAGCAATAACAGAAACCTGTTATTTTGAGCTGTTATATATAAATAACAGTAACAATTTCAACTGTTATTTAAAAATAACGGTTTTGCCCACCACTAACAGTACACGGTGCTCCTGAAGAGTCGGCAGGTTTCTATTTAGTGACAGAAAAAAGTATTGACATATCTTGAGTAAGGACACCTTCCTAAAAATATATCTAATAACCTTTAAATCAAACCTGCTTCTTACCGTGTTTTTTAAGTGTTCTTGTATTTTTTTAGGAAAATTGTATAAAAAAATCAATTCTATGATGGTTTATTTTATTGATAAGCTTCAAGGACATATTTTTTTTATTATAAATAAAATATCTGACAACTAAGTAAAAAATAACGTTCTTATCGCAAAAAAAGCCGCGACAAGCATCAAAGATAGCCATGGTCTCGGCATAAGTGAGATTTTTGTTCGCTATTTGACGCATTGACACTATATGGATTTATTTAGATTTTATTTGTCTCTGTATTCAAAATCTAAAAATGAAAACTAACCCAAATTGCAAGTGCGACCACGAAGCTAATAGAAAAAAAGTGTGTGAGGGTGCGGTAAATAAAATTATTTATGGAAAATCATAATTATCCGACTTTAGAATTTCTAAGAGTTTAAAAACATTGATGTGTAAATATTTAAACAAAAACTTCGATGAAAATAATTCAAGATTTCCAGTATCAATATGTACTTCCTGTCGACATTCACCGAGCGAAAGGAAAAATGAGACGTCATGAAGTCTACGTGAGAAAGCTACCAGTAATGCCGAATTTCGAAAGCATAGTTGTAAAAAAACACGCGACTGAAATCTAGTGACGATTTAATTGTTTTATTTGCAAAACAGCTAGTTACGTTGGGCACAAAAAGAAATATAGTAACTTTAAATGCCCCAAAAGTAAAAAAGTTTGTAGTAAATGTTTACAAGTACTTGGGAAAGGATTGCCACATAGATGCTCTGACGTTAATAATAAAGCTTTGAGTGTTGTACAATCTCTAGAAGACAAAACAAAAGAACAAATTGCTGTTAAAATAATCAAGAATAAAGTTGATGCTGAAAGAGCATCATTAAATAGTTCATCCTCTTATAAAAATGCTGTCACTGAATTGGGCACTGGAGGTTCAGTTGTCAGAATGTCAATAAGCCAAAATCAGTAAAATTCTCGGAAAAAGATTTAGACAATTACAGAATGACAACGGGTGCATCCAGCAGACAAATGAGTAACCTGACCAGCTTCATAAGATGTTCCACCGGAAGGAAGTCTGTGCCAACAAATTATAGATAGTTTGTGAGCAATAAATCTAAAAAACTTTGTAACTTGTACAAACTGGAGAACTTTGCTTTTGAAACCTTCAAAAGTTCGCAATCTGTTAGACCAGTTGTGTATGCTGATGCAGAAGAACTACTAGAGAAGGTAAGTTAGATTATTTGTAGTCTTAATAAAAGAGTTTTCAACTGATTTGTTAACTTCAATTTGCAAAACACAAATATTTGTTTTTCTTTGTAGGTGATAGAAGCTAGAGGTGAAGTTGGAAAAATGGAAGTGAAATTTCTGGCAGATGGCGGAAAAAATTCTCCAAAATCTGTTTGTCAATATTTCCCGAGGATTATGCACCAGTAACAGACCAACATCGTGCCAATTACAAAGAAGGAGGGCGCATGTCGAAGAATATTAAGTCAACTGGCGTAAAGAAATTAATCATTTTATGTTTGGTTCCTGATATAAAATAAACCTATCAGAACATTTCGTTACTTTTTAAGTTAACTAACCTTAATAATATCTCATTTAAATTTGTGTCTGACCTTAAGATTAATTTAATAATCAACGGCTTACAAACCGCAACCGCCTCTTTCCCCTGTCGCTACTGCATTATTTTTTAAAAGCATTAAGATCAGTGAATCTTAATATAGTGTTAGGAAATGCTATTTTTGTGTTAGTCATTAGATATTTTATTTATAACAGAAAAAAATTATGTCCTTTAAGCTTATCAATAAAATAAACCCTCATAGAATTTAATTTTATATACCATTTTCTTAAAAACTACAAAATCGCTTAAAAGAAGCAGGTTCGATTTAAAGGTTAATAGATATATTTTTAGGAAGGTGTCCTTACTCAAGATATGTCAATAGTTTTTTCTGCCACTAAAGAGAAACCTGCCGACTCTTCAGGAGCACTGTGAGTAATATATCCACATTACTTTTTGTAATTTTACAAACAGAGAAGACATAAGGTGAAATTTTATCTGGAGACGGGGCCTTAAAATAATGAAAAATAAATAATAGCATTTTAATAATTACCACTTCATCGTAAACCCAGGCCTGATTTCCGGCCATGCCATGACATCTGACCAATTTTACGGGCCCATTTTTGCTGTTAGCGTCGAGACAATTATCGTCATTCATGATCTGCTGGCGTTTAGTGTATGCAAAAACTTGGTTTCCACCCATGTTGTGACAGTATGTCATGCCTAGATTTTCGCCAGATTTCCGGCCCATTGTATCTAAACAATTTCGACTTTCCAGGTTTCGTATCTAAAAGATATTGAACAAAATCAAAGAAATAGAAAATTTAATAGTGTTATTTAAATTAATGTTGTCGTCCTTTATAGTATCTCTAACTCTTCAGAGATTCTCAGAGCATAAACTTAAAATAAAAATAACCGAAATCATGCATATACAGATACAGGTCTGGTTATCCAAAATTCGTGGTGTGTATCCAAAGTGATTAAAAATATGTGCCAAAAACTTTAAGGAGTTTCCTTGTTCCCTGGTTAAAAATAAAGGGTAGTTTGATTTGATATAGAATATAGCGGTACAGCGGGTAATAGCGGTATAAAATATTGCGGAAAAAAGTAAAAAAGCGCTGTAATAGAAATTTGTTGGAATTTTAAGATTTTTATTTTTTAGATTTCTGTTTCGGTAATAAAAAATATCCACATTTGTTTCTTTTGTATACATATTAGTAGTCGCAGCACAATTCGATATCTTTTCTATTAATACGATGCACCGAAAGTCAACTACACAATAATTTTTCGCAAGTCTTTGTATCACAAATATACCGGGTGGGCCATTAGTGCGAGGAAGTCCAATATTGTCGTTGTTATAGTTAAGGTATGAAAAAAATCTAACATAAATATTACATGGTTTATAAAGGTGCATATCCTAAAATTATTTTGTTGTATACCTACAGGGTATTCCAAAAAAAGTAATGTAAAGTTGTAAGTTTTTTTAATTGCAACCCCCATTTTTTTGTACCAAGCTGGATTCAGCATAAATTTCTACATATAGTACACTATTTTTATTTAAAGGAATATACGGTGATGCCATGCTACTTCTTATTTACTAAAACTTTGGTTAAAAATAGCATATCTGAACGTAACGTAAAAACCCGAAGTGAATTTAACTCTATTAAGACTTACCTATATTTTCCTAAACAACGAGAATAACAAAATAAATCCGTGATAGGAAACTCACATTAACTTACACAGGGTATTTTTGTGGCATGGCCAACAACGCAATATTTAGAATGCTATATTATCTCAATTTTTATAAATGCAACCCCTGTATGTTATTTTTTAGATGCAGAATTAAAAAACAAACATTTTTGTATTTAAAGTTATTTAATCCTTTCGCATATACATATTTGCAGTATTATGTTGCTTACGGCTCTTTCAGTAGTAAAATATATAAGGTAAAAAATCACGAGGTGGTTTTGATAAAAATACACTGTTGAAAGAGCCGTATGTAATATTACGTACCCCTGCGCCTCTCATATTATATTAGGTAATTATTGGGAAAAGTGGAAATCATCCGATTTTCACCAAAATTAGTATACACCCTATTTTGAGGTCGTAGATTACGAATCTGAACTTGTTTCCTGACGGTCTGTTACCGTTTTTCAGAAAAACGGAAAATTATGTCAACATTGAATTTTTCTTAATTTTTCGTATTTTTAAGGTTTTTTCGCACATATTTTGTTATGTATTCAATAAACAATCAGGTTTTTGCTATTTTCTGTTACTTTTTTAACCAATTCTATGCATAATAGAGGAAAATTTGCTAAAATAAATTTGTAAACAATCTGAAAATGTTGGGTTATGCGTTTCTGACATTTAAAGCGACGTTGCCAATGCTAAACCTAAATTTAGCGCGTTTTTTTCGCCCTCTCTGGGGGGTTACCAGATTACCAGATTCATGGAAAGGGAAATATTTTCCCCTACATTCCAAGGCAAAAACCGTTAGATTCTAATGATTTTTCCAACTGATTTTTATTGATTAATGTGCACGAGGTGCAGTTAGAGTTTTTTTCTGCGACTGAAGACAAGTAAGTATTTAGCAATGGAGCCCTGCAATGGATGCACTTTGGACGTCGGAGGTATGTATAATATAGTCAATGATGAGGGTAAACTAAATAATTTTTTATTTTCTCATGGGGTATTTTCTATCGAACCTATAAATTGTCCGAGATGCCATGTACCCTGCAAATTTTACGCACGCGATAAATTTAGATTTCGTTGCACTAATACAGTGTATTTGTCTAGAAAAGGGGGGACTAAATGTACGTTTAAAATTGGGGCAAAGAGGGGAACTTTTTTTGAGAAGGCACATTTGGACATTCAGACAATTTGTAAGTTCGTGTTTTACTTGTTAGCCCATAATCACGGGCAGGAGTGGATGATGGTCGAGCTGCAATTGGCGTCCGATACTGTTGTCAACTGGACAAATTTCTGCAGGGAAGTTTGCTTAATTTGTCTGGTTGATAACTCCCAAAAGAGGTAGAGTAATCGACGGTCAATGGATTTTCGGAGGAATCGAACGTGAATCAAAAAAGGCTCTTTTTGATACCCGTTGAAGAACGGTCGAAGGAGCATCTGCTGGCGGTTATTCAAGAATGGGTACTACCGGGTACTACAATAATATCGGATTGTTGGAAATCGTACAACTGCTTCGCAGATGAAGGTTTCTAACATCTGACGCTAAACCACTCCCAAAATTTTGTCGATCCAGACACTGGAGTACACACGCAAAATATTGAGAGAGCATGGAGGGATCTGCACAGAAATGTTCCTAAATATGGCCGGGCAAAAGATCATTTTCCCGGCTATTTGGCGGAACATTTATTTCGGAGGAAATTTCGAACACCCAAACATCAGGAGATGTACCATGAATTTTTAAATATATCTCAAATGTCTATCCCCCCTCTGCCAATATGGATCAAAACGCTTAGGTGGATTACTGTGCCTCTATTTTATTGTGAGAGTGGATGATTGAATGATGATTACAAAAAAAAAAAAAAAACAAAAAAAAACACAAAAAAACAAAAAAAACAAAAAAAAACTGTACCAAAACCCAAACCAACTTAACCTTAACCAAACTCAATTTATTATTCTATCCACAACTACTCTTATATATCCTAGAAAATGGCGAGCGAAATGATCACACCCTCATCCCTTTCTTGGCAGAGATTTGTCCCGCCTCTATTTGACATAATTACTATTAATTAATTAAGATATCTACTTAACAGACACCTCCTATTATAATGTTAAAATTAATGTAAGCTTGAATATTATATATTGATAAACTTCTTAGAAAAATGTTGTTGACGAAGTTGGACAAAACCTGCATTGAATGTTGGATTATTATTGTAGTTTAATTAAATATATACTTATTTTATTAAAAAGTATATTAAATAAAACGTATTTTATTTAAACTCCCTATTCTCCCGAAAAAATACAAGACATGACAAGGTTGCAAATTTTCAGTTTCTAGATCAGGTCTAGATTATATTTGTCTCTCTCGTTGCATAGGAGAGAGAAAGAAGGATATATGAACGGTCAAGTGTCAATCTTGTCAGTTTTGGTGGAAATTTTCTTTGTTTATTTTATTAAGAAAAGTGTTTTTCAGTAAAATTTTGGGTATTTTTCTATCCACAATCAAGAACAGCTCTTAGATAAACTATAATATAATGAAAATATAGTGATATTAGTACTTTATACAGCGGAAATTAAGAAAAATTCAATGTTGACATAATTTTCCGTTTTTCTGAAAAACGGTAAGAAACTGCCAGGAAACAAGTTCAGATTCGTAATCTACGACCTCAAAATAGGGTGTATACCACGGGGGTGTCACTTGTATGGGAAAACAGGCAACAGTCAAATTTAAACGTGCCAGGACCAACGACAAAGAAAGCAACATCTGCCAGGCATTGGCTTTCTTTGTCACTCACATTGCTTAAATCATGATACCGCGGCCATTTTGTCAACAAAGAAGCTGGCCGGGCTGTCCTGGCAAGTGATTTAAAACAATTTTGCTTTTTACAATATTAAATTACCATTTGGATGTATTTAATGCGATTATTCAATTAACTGGTAAGTCAGAAATTACACACAAATACTTTATTCGTAAATACAACTAAGATGTAAACGTAGTTTTGTATTTTTAGATTTCAACTTTTGCAAAGACCCGCCGATAGAACTTGCCTGGCAGCGTACCTGTTTAACTAAACGTATTATTTCCTGATAATAATATCAAAACACGTAAGTACCTCTATAATTTATGATGACAAATGATTTTGATTATGTTTTATGTTATTTAAATACTTTCTAACCTCAAATAATAGTAAGATCCTTGTTTATATCGCACAGCCCGTTCAAAACTGTATTGTCTTCAAAAAATGTTTACAAAACAAACAATTATTACAAAAACAATGTCCTTTTAATCTGATTTATACCTCAGAAGGATGCCAGTAAAATTTTATTAAATCAACATTATATTATTTGGCCATTAATATCCAAAAAGGAGCATATTGCCTTAACTTAAATTTTCTTTTACTTCTCTTGACAATGTTCTCTATATTCTCTATTTTGAGTTAGTAAACTTTTGAACGGGATGTGCGATATATAAAATACATAATATATCCAAGGGTATGATCTGATAAAAGTATTTTTTGATGCATTTTTTGGTTGTTTATGCACGTTGGCTTGGTTTATGTTTTATTCAGCTTATATTTATTTGGTATAACAGTTTTTTTTGCCTTTGGAATGGCATGCATTGAGCCTAGATAGTGTTTCATTAGATCATTAAAGGAATTTAAATTAGCATATATTTTTTGTCATATTAGTGTGTTATCATGATACAGGTAGTTGTATCATAGTGCATGTTATATACCTATTATATACTTATGTAATGTAGTATCAATAAATAGATAATAACATACTACTAAAATGTCTTTTTAATAGTATGTTTATCTTTCCAATTCACTAGTTATTTGCAAAATGTATTTTGAACTAATTTAAGTCATTAATTGATCATCTTTCTTTTTCAGGTTTCGGGATATTCTTTTTCATTGTTAAAAAAATATATATATTTCAATATTATTGTAATATAAATCGCAGCTCTAAAAAATAAATGATATTGTTTACTAATGTGTAATTTATTTACTATGAATTTTCTCTGAAAATAATAAGTCTTTAATAATATCATTGATTTGCTGTGTAAAGTTAATAGACATATTTTTTAATACATTAAATTATATTAAAGTAATAAAAAATATGTTTATTAACTTTAAACGGTAAGTCAGTGATACTTATAAAAATATTTTTTTTTTAAATTTCCCCTCTTTTAAGCCCCGCCCCTCCAATTCCCCTCAATTTAGCTAGTACTGCCAGGCGACACCAGATGGCGTCTGTTTCCATTTTTTAACATGAAGTTAGCATTTCTTTAATGTACCTATTCTCTGGTGTATACCAATTTTGGTGAAAATTGGACGATTTCCACTTTTCCCAATAATTACCTAAATATTTATAACTCAAATCTATGAAACACGAAATGATCGCGAGAAAAATGAAAAATATGGAAGAAATTATGTTCTGTATGTAGAATACTAATATACTAATGCTGAAAATACTTACATCACCAAGATAATAATAGTCTAAAGGCATTTGGGATTCTGGATAAATATTTTCTAAATACCACCTGAAACTCTTGCATTTCAGTTTTTCTCTTAGCGCTTTCCGAGACGATACGTCACCAACAGCTACATTTCTGGCGCCTATATTTAAAAAAATATCAATTTTATTATGAACAATATCAATATTCTAGAACCACAACCATTATTACAAGCTTTAACATCAAAAGCAGCCACATGCATTTCTAAAAGCACAAGAAGAAAAAAAAACATAAACAATTGTGCAATAATACCAAATAAAAATAGGGATTCTTTAAAAAATCACTGAATGAAAAAAAAAATACAAATGTAAACCATAATTCTAAAACAAAAGGTGTAGAAAATGGTGACCAAAAAAGTTTATACCTAGAGTCCATAAAAAAATAAATTGAAAATTAATTATCAAATCTAGTATGTGTATAATACAATTAAAAAATATTAAAATTATAATAAAAAAATCAATATGTCAATGCAATTAAGAAAAAATAATATAGGTCTAGGAAAATATTAAAAAGAATTATTGATTACATACGGTTATTCCAACGATTGTGTAATTTATATTTATCATAAATATATTGAAAAGTATTGGGGGTATTTCAAAAGTCGAAGCAAAATAACGTTAAATTTTAGAGTACATGAATATTGGTTTCCATTTTTTTAATTTCTTCATTTTTGTTTATTAAAAAACTTTAAAATTCAGCGTTTTCATTTTATAACAGCATACCTATAAGTATTATGAATTATGTCATTTCAAAATAAAGTTTTAGATTATCCGCCTACAAACACAAGATAAAAAAATATATATGTTTAAAGACGACCAGTGTTAAAACAAATTATATTTATTTTTCCTCGGCAGAACAATTTAATTCATGGTTTTTTCAAAACAAACAAAATATAATATTTGAATTAAAAAATAGTAGATAAAAATCTTTCTAGATGGTTTGACTAACATTCACTCTGGATAAAATGCAGTGAAAATTAAGATTTAGTAGATTATCAAAAGTTTTTTTTATTAAAGTAACAACCACAAAAAAACAATTTTTTTTAAACAAATTTTAAATCTCTAATAAATAGTAGATTATAACAGAATAAACAATCTACACTAAAACGCACAAAACTTGGTATTCGTTTCACTTATTCTTACTTCATCTAGTATTCTATATATATAGTATACTATTAAGAACGTTCTAATAAAATAAACCAAATAAAAATGAAACTTTGAAATAAACTGTAAAAATAAACGTCTCTAGTTTAGCTAACAACTGAAAATCATGAAATTACGTGACAACAAACGGCAACATTGTTGGGTATACGATTTGACTAGTGGGACGTGCATTTCTGTGATTAAATGATTGTAACTATTTTAACTTTGTGTTTGTAACTGTATTTTATCCCTTTACTTTGTTTTGTTTGACTTTACTCAAAAATATTTTACCTATTTTGACTGTCTTTTAGAGTTATTTTAGCTTTGGGCCTGAGGGTGGGATATAATTAATCCCGAAACATGTTGCCCCATCACATAAAAAAATTATTTTTTAAAATAAATAATTAAAAAAAAGGTTTCATGTGAGGTTTGTGTCTCCTTCCCCTCGCTAGAGGATTTCCATTTACAAAACACATTGTTAGGAAAACGAGAAAAATAACTTAATGCGAATTTCCATGACTCATAATCAAAAATAACTCTTAACTCATAATAAAATATTTGAAAATAAATGCTTGTAATGCATACAAATAATAATGCAACATTTTACGATTACGACTAATCTTTAATCATATATAAATTTAAAGCCAAATATCTTAAGTCGTTCTTTTGTAACATTTTGTCGTTGCCTGAATCCAAATATTTTTGCTTACATTAGATGTAATTTAATCGTAATCAAAAATATAACGCATTAATATGGTGTCCTGTGATCGACTCAACTACTAAAAATAAAAATACTAGCTGCAAACAATATTACAGTGGTAGTTAATAGAAAACAATTATTGTCTGTACAAGCAAACTGGACCTGGATTAATGTTATAATAAAAATCCTTCCACTGGTCCAGCCAAACCTCTGCCAGTCTGGCGTTGTTGTGGTTAACGATGCGGGAAGTACCACCGGGAAAGGAGTAGGGCGTCGACTTGCGGAAGACGTGGCCGACGTGGGAACAAGTGGCAATTTCCAGAGTACCTCCGCACATCCACGCCTTCGATTGGTTGAAATTACAGAAAAAATATTTTCATATACATAGATGACAATTTGGTAAATACATTAACGTTTAACAGTAGATTTATCGCACAATTGTTTACTTTGGATTGGTTAAAGTACAGTTTATTTAGCGTTGGAGTTGCCTTCAAAAAAATTACTTTTTTAGTTACTGTAAAAAGTACTATGATCACTGGTGCGAACAGGTAGTATACCCTGTTTTACGACTCAGGTTAGATTTCGACATATGATAACAGAAAAAAAGGCAGATGACGTCCATACCAATCCATTTATTTCGCTAAAAAAGTTTCTAATATTTCTTTTTTCTTTGAATAAAATAATATTTCTAAGTTAAATATGGATGGGTTTATGTACAGGGTGGTGAACCTCATTCACATCGGTTCATTATACGAAAACAGAAAGATGTGGAAACAAAATATTTTATGGGCATATGTGAACTTATGCAACACCCGGTATTTTATTTCATATTTGGATCTTTTATTATAAGGGTTAAATACCGTATGATCGAAAAAAAAACGGCGTCCAGTTGGCTTGGAAATGACGATCGATGACATTTCCCATATAACTTTACATATAAAATGACAGTGATTATTTCATAGCCATCGCTGACGCCGTTTTTATTCGATCAAACGGTATGTTTACAAGCTTTGATTTTTGAGATATTTAAAGATATTTCAATATGCATGCTAGAATAAAAAAGATTGTCAACACCTTGTACATTGCTTTTCAGAATTAATTATTGTGTTGACTTTTAAGCCAAAGAAACAAACTTTACTGAAAAATTTGATTGCTTATTTGTTTAATGTATACAGGGGTATCAAAAATTGATAGTGTATTTTAAATATTTATTTTACATAAAAAGTTTGTTATTTCAAATACAACACTCTGTATTTTTTTTAAATAAATCGAAGCAGATTTAAATGCTCTTTCAAGCTATATTAGGATTTCCTATACCTATCTAGCTCAGATTTTTGGTACCCCTGTATAAATTTAAGAAAGCAATAACATTTTTCAGTAAAGTTTATTTCTCTACCTTTAAACTCAGCACAAGAATTAATTCTGAAAAGTAATGTACAGGGTGTTGATAATATATTCTATTGTAGCATGCATATTTAAATATGTTTAAATATCTCAAAAACCAAAAATTTTAGACACTTTTAACCCTTATACCGGGTGTTCCATAAGAAAAAATATAACTTTGGTATGAATCTCAGTTCTGAAACACCCTGTATATTTCAAAATACTTTTAAATTGTGTTTTCCTCCCCACATATACCTAAGAAATATTTTGTTTCTACATCTTTCGAATGAGGTGCGCCACCCTGTATAAATCTGCCATGTCGTCTCTTGTTGTTTTCAACCAGTCTTATTGGTTTATTTCAAACACTATTACAGATCATATTGCAACATGATTCAATAAACGTAAATGAGTTGTTAAACTCGTCAGACACTTCAAGCTTTTTTGCAACAAAAGGCAGATTGAATGAGAGATAATTGACAAAAAGCAGACAAAGGGAAACCAGACATTTTGCGCTGGTTACAATATTTACAGATATTTTTCAGGAACCGTGTTCAGTAATAATAAAAATTTCAGGCAAAATATAGAAACGGAACAGAAAATCATAAGCAAAGTAAGAAACGCAATACAGCCTTAAATTCAAAAGTACTTTTTTGGCGTCTGTTGAAATCCTCAGTGGACTTTCTAGTCACAGATGCTGAAAACAACAGTAACAATAAATAAACTGCACTATAAGGCCCAAACGTGAATAAACCATTTTATTCTTATTTTCACACATATTCCACATAACATATCAATGTTAGTAAGTCATTAAATTTGAAATAAAACAGCAACAAAAATTCAAACAGTATTTTCCTTTTCCCGGATTTTAGAGGTAAAAGTGGAAATCATTTTGACCTCTCATTTCAATTCTAAATTTTTTGAAAAACGGAAAAACTGTACAGGGTGTCCCACTAAGAATAGCTCTCGGCTGTATCTGGGAAAGTATTAAGGCTGATTCATGGTACACCGGGCCGTACCCGAGCCGGGCACGTTTCTTAAAGTAGACACGGTAGTAGAAGCTCGGCCCGTGCTCGGCTTAGCATGAATGCATAGGTATAAATACCATTTGACAATGTTTAGCCGTGCCTTCACCGTCGCACGGCCCCGGCCCGTCACGGTGTACCATGAATCAGCCTTTAGTAGTAGAGCTTGCGGAAAAAAAAATATTTATAAAAAGAAACCATGAGAAATTGCTGAAAATTATTTTCAATAGGACGGCCGATAGACTGCTATGGAAAATAACAAAATAATTTTTTTAGGAAAATTTGCTAGGTTCGATGTACTAAATAATAGCTTCATAATCTTCAGTAAATTTTAGATCTTTTTTGTTAGAACCATTTTGCCGTATCTGCTAAAATAAAGTGGTGGGGGAAGGTTAGATTGCAGTTTTTATTTAAATGTTAATAACTCCGGACTGGATGATCGGAATCCAACAAATGAGAGCTCGTTTAAAAGAGCGTTTCTTACTCTATATTATATATGGTGGCGCTGTCATCAAACACTACGCGTTATTTCAAAAAATTAAAGGCGATAGTATATGTAATTTTAGCTGATACTAAAGAGTAATAAAAGTTTAACAAGTCAGCGAAAACTGCATCTTGATATCTTTTTTCAAACCGAAGTTATTAGCAAAATTATAATAAACTAGCGTGTACCAGCGACTTCGTTCGCGTCGAATTAATCATTTGTAATGGTAATGATAAAGCAAAGCAAGAATTCCCATTAACACACAAACTGGATAAAATTTTCTCACATTTATGTCAGCATGAGAAAAAACAATATGGCGATATTATTATATAACTTGGTAATATTTGAGGGGTAGTTTCATCTCGTTGGAATTTGACTTTCGAAAAATCCGTTTGCCAAAATAAGCTTTTTACGTCAAGCAGTTTAAGCAGAATCGTGGTTAAGAAATTACCCAACTTTTTGGAACACCCTGTATGATTTTTTAAAAAAATTCAAAATATGTAAAAAAAACAAATAAATTATGCTGGTCCAAGCGTTTTCCCGAAAGACTAACCGTTTTTTAAATAACAAATATTGTAATATTTGAGGGGCGTTTTTACCCTGTTGGAATTTGAGATTCGAGAAACCCCTCCTTATCGAACCTCTACTAGCAGAGAACCTCTACTCTAACGCAGTTTAAACAGAATCGTGATTACTCAATGGTCATATTTTATGAAACACCCTGTATAAATTTATAAAAAATCTTAAAATATGTAAAACAAAACAAAATAAAATATACGTGTTTAAGAGTTTTTCCGAGAAACTCACCGGTTTTTAAATAATTTTTTTTTAATATTTGAGGGATAGTTTCACCCCCTTAGAATTCGAGTTTCAAAAAATCCCTTCTTATCGAACCTCTACACCCTAAAGTCAATCTGTTTTCCAAAAATCAGCTTTTTACGTCAAGCGCTTTAAGCAGGATCGTGATTAATCAATGATCAGATTTTTCGAAACACCCTGTATACATTTTTAAAAAATCTTAAAATATGTAAAAAAACAAAATAAAATATACGTGTTTAAGCGTTTTTCGGAAACTTGACCGTTTTTTAAATAAAAAATATTGTAATATTTGAGGGGTGGTTTCACTCTCTTGGAACTGGAATTTCGAAAAATCCCTTCTTATCGAACCTCTACACCCTAGAATCAACCTGTATGCCAAAATTGAGCTTCTTACGTTGAGTGGTTTGAGCAGGATCGTGATTAATCAGTATGTCAGTCACACAAAGGATTTTATATATTAGTATAGATACGAAAATATGAGCCCTTAATTACCTTATTTTTCTAACACGGTATTACTAGCCCTCTTGATTATGACCATTCAAATAAGAAATAAGATAAAAAAGATTATTTTATTCAAAAAATCGACAATGAACCAGAATACCATAATACTAGGTGTATTAATATCTAATAATTAAGATATCAATGACGGTGGCAATAAACGACAACTCTGTGAATTAATGGTAGGTTTTGGAAAAAAGTTGCTTTTAGAGGGATAGTTTAAACATCAAAATATTATTATATCTTTTTTATTGCTTTTCTAAAAATGCCTTTCTTCAATAGAGAAAAAACGCTGTTAAGACTATCAAAATGTTGATCTAATATCTAATAACACTTGACGTTTATAATATTACGTCAAAAGCAACTTTTTTCCAAAGCCTATCATGACTTAACTGAGGCGTCGTTTCTAATTAACAGTCATTGATATCTTAATTATTAGATATTAATAGATCTTATTTATTGTCAGAATGTTCATAATCAAGAGGGCTAGTAATATTGTGTTAGAAAAATAAGGTAATTAAGGGCTTATATTTTCGTATTAATTTATTATAATTTTGCTAATAACTTTGGTTTGAAAAAAGATATCAAGATGTGGTTTTCGCTGGCTTTTTAAGCTTTTATTACTCTTTACTATCAGCTAAAATTACATATACTATCGCATTTATTTTTTTTGAAAAAACGCACAATGTTTGTTAAATTGTAAGACAGCGCCCTCTAGCGTCTACATTGAAAAGCTTATTATTATTGTTTATACGGTAAAATATAGAGTAAGAAACTCTCTTTTAAACGAGCCCCCGTTTGTTGGATTCCGTTCATCCAGTCCGGAGTTATTAATATTTAAATAAAAACAGATCTAACCTTCTCCCACCACTTCATTGTGGCAGATAGGAAAAAATGGTTCGAATGAAAAATATTCAAAATTTACTAGAGATTATGAAGCTATTATTTATAGTACCCGTTATCTAAGCAAAATTGTGTAAAAACTCCTATTCCTTATTTTTTTATAGCAGTTGCGCCCTCTAGCGGCCGTTCTACAAACTTGAAAATAATTTTCAGGAATTTCTCATGGCGTCCTTAGCTATATTTTTTTCCGGAAGCTCTATGTCTAATACTTTCTGAGATACAGTCGAGAGCTATTCTTAGTGGGACACCCTGTACAAGTATATTTTTTTGATGTTTCATTTCAAATAAGAAAAATTATACGTTAAAATGATAGTTCATGAACATGACACGTTAAAGAGCATTAGAATAAGTTAAAGCACGCCCATTTCAATCGAGACAAAGCAGTTAAACGTCACTCTTATCGAACCTGGGCTCATTATGTAGTAAAACTCTTTCCAATCGTCCATCCAGACTTCAGCTACCCTGGCTGCGTTATGCAGTACGATTTTCGAAACCCCTCCTGGAAATGTGTAGGGAGACTTGTCCCGAAACACGTGTCCCACGTGGGAACACGGGATTATCTCCAGGATTCCCCCGCACTGCCACACCTAAGCCCCAGGCAGGAATTTAAAAAAAAATACAACTAAACTGGTTCGAGTTCTTATTAAAAGTTTATGGAGCAATGTACACTGAATTCGTAAGAAAAAGCAGTAGACCCGTGTCAACATTTTCAACTAGTAATATTTCATATTTACACGCTTTACCTGGTAAATTAAGATTATGATTTATATCGAGTGCGTCTCAAAAGTGGCTCATTCCTATAACTTTTTTATTTTTTCAGCATTTTTTATGAATAATTTGGTACCACACACTTGGTATCTCGAGTTAAATTGTCGTTATGAACCGCATGTTACAATTTCAATTAACATTTATATACGATTTAAAACCATATGGGAAAATGTCAAAAGTTAACATATCGTCCCAATGCTGCCAAAAGTCACTAACTTACTTTTTTTTACTTCCGAGAAAAATGCGTCTAAAGATGAATTGCATTGCATAAAGATGTTATAGTTAGTAACTATTCGGTATTAAAATAAAACGTAAATAGCCAGAAATCGTAGTTAATGATTTTTGCAATCGTTTTGCTTCAAAACATAGTTAGTGATTGAATTTGGTTGTTCGGAAAAATGTTAGTTAGTGACTTTTGGCAACAATAGGACGATATGATATGTCATTCTATTCAGAGTATCATTTTTTATCGAATAAAGTAAAAAATACCGAAGGAGTCATTTAAAAATCAAAAGTTGTAGTCAATTCCGGTGAAACAGGAAGTGACCAAAAACAATTAAATACGTCAATCAATCCTAATTTATATCATACTAGTTGAAGCCTGGCGCATCCGCCACGACATCATGAAAAAAAACTTTTTTTTTTAATTAAATGAAAAATAAAAAATCCGGCGACGACAGTTTTTAGAAGAGCCAATTAGCTATCATTTAGTAAAAATAGCAACTTTCTAGAGCAAGTCGTTACTTCAGTAGAGACGACACAGATAAACATTAGAATTTTATATAATGTAGATGTTAACATACCAAACTCATTTTTTTATCCGAAAAATAAAAGTTATTGAGCTGAGCCACTTTTGAGACGCATCCGGTATAGTGATTTTAGAACAAAATGTATAATCAAATGACTTTATGGGAAAACGCTAAATCGAAAAATTTTACCAATATTATACAATCATATTATACAATTAATAAAATTTAAAAAAAATTTCTACTTAATTTTTTTTTTCTTAATTTCTTTCTTTTTCCGAATTTCTACTTATTTATTTTCATCCTGTATACTAGCTATATCAAAGTACTTATATACTATTAATCATGATATAACTATGTTTTGTAAGCAAAGCTGATTAAAACAAATATATTATTTACAATTAAATTCTAACAGTACCTAGAAAAGCGACAAATGATGTCGAAATATTTTATAAACAATACAATACACGGTAAAAAATGTTGCTTCATAATTATGGTTTAAAAATAGTTTTGTTTATTTATTATGAAATAAACGGAAATGAAATATAAGAAAATAGAACAACTTGTAAAGGTTCAGCAATAATTAGCTAGCTGATATTTGAAACGAGGTAATAATTTGAAAAAAAATATGATATACAGGATTTCAGAGAGATTTTTCAGAGAGTTTCACAAAGGTTTTACATGAACCGCTTTTTTAATGGAATAGCCTGTATACCATCCTGGATACTTGTCCGTGGTCTGTATTTTAATGCATGCGATAGAGATAAATATAAATGAACGGTTGAGACACAAAATAAAAAGCGGCATACAGTGGTAGACCTGTTCGGTGTTGAGATTTGAACACCGGTGTTAGGTGTTGATGACCACCGGTGTTCAGTCCGTGTACCGGTGACAACACCGGTGTTTATCTCAACACCGGTATTCATTTCAGCACCGGTGTTTATCTCGACACCGGTGTTCATCTACAACACCGGTTTTTACGTGCATAGAAAAAATAGACTATTTTAAAAACTTTCATGTATACTACTGAAATTATACTAGTTAAAAAATAGGGCAGAATAATATATAATATTGCAGAGTATCGATTTAATATTTTTATCATATTTAATTATATGAGAAAATATATCTAAAACTTTATAAAGTATCTACTATATAGTATATTTATATATGTACTAAAGAAACTTAATATTGAAGGAGACAAAACGAAGCAGTAATTTAAAAAACTTATAAGTTATACTAGCCCTGGTCACTTTATTTCCGTGCTCTGTACTTTAATGCGTAAGACAGAGATAAATATATACGACCAGTTGAGAGACAGAGACAAAATAAAAAGCGGCATACAGTGTTGCCGGTTCGTACGAGAAATAAAATAATAAACGAATTTTGTTATTATATTTATACATTTGATATATTAATTTAAGATAAGGTAGTAGATATTGATATTATTTGTTAGGTTATACTGTAATGGTACTCGGTTAACTAAGCAGTTATTTACTGAAATTCGCCGAGGATTATTAAAATAAAGACATATTATTATTATTATTATTATTATTACTAGTGCGGTTTGAAATTTTGATGCAAAATCCGGCAACACCGGAGAGAAGAAATGTATCAACCTAACTTTTATCTCTTTTTAATACATTGATTTTTTATTTAAGCTGTCTACACACTGTCTTACACGTTAAAATCCAGATCACGCAGTTTCGACGACCAGATCGGTATAATATATAACACTAGTTGGTTGTATAAAATAAACGATTTTGTAGTTAATATAACGTATATAAAAGTCTATACTATTACGTGTATTTATTAGCAAAACATTTCCCAAAAAGAAGTAAAATTCGAAATATTTCTAATTTTAACAAAAACTCGAACCATCCTTTAACAAGCTAGCTAAGTAAATATTTATGTCGTTATCACACTCTCACAGACAAACATATGCTACTCTTTGCTAGTAACATTTTAAAACAAATGTCAAAACGGTTTTTAACCGAGAAAAAGGAATTAGTTGCATCGTCCTAATACCACAGCACTCATAATATCACTACCACAAAAACCCAGTGTTTTTTGTCGCCAAAATAAAAAAAAAATAAAGCTCCAGCAGCGCTGACCCAAAATAAAAGTTTTTCAAAAAAAGACGCCAAACCTGGAACCATAGAATAGTAAAAATCTTTCCATTCGTCCATCCAGACTTCGGCAACCCTGGCCGCGTTGTGCAAAACAATTTTCGAAACGCCTCCTGGAAAAGTGTACGGAGATTTGTCACGAAACACGTGACCCACGTGCGAACACGGTATGATTTCTAGAATACCACCGCACTGCCATACCTAAATGTGCATTTATTTCGCTTTATGTAGGTGTTACAAGTTGGTAATTCCGTAAAACGGTATATTGAGGTAATTTTTAAAACAAAACTTACCCTGAAACTCATTTCCAAGTTTTCGCCGCCCCATATATCCATTCCTTCATCGTACGACCCTATTTCGTAGAAATAATCCTTGTCTATTGAGAAAAGACCTCCGGCCATGGTAGGTGTTCTTAATGGGGCCGTCCTGTCACCTTTTCTCCTGTCCATTTCCCTCTGCGATACTCTATACCTTAATACACATAGAATAATGTAAAATGAAGGTAAATTATATAGAAAGACAATTAAAAATTGGTTCTAGAAATAAATATGTACAAGGAAAACCATCTCGAATAAGGTAAATATACTTTGTAATAATCTGGATACTTAAAATCAACCTAGCAGTTGATTTCTGTGATATAGTGTTTGATAAAAGCCTTCATAAAAGTCAATCGGTTAAATCAAGTAGGCTATGGATATTGAGGGACAAAAAACCTATAAGATATTAAGCCCCCTTTACAATTAACGTTTTACCTGGTCAGTCAAAACTATCAAGTCAACCCTTATGTGTAGAAAAATATATCTAAAACTTTATAAAGTAAAAAAAAAAGATGTTTTTACCACTATGTATATTTCCACTACATAGTTTTTCATTATTCAAGTTTAATAGTATTGACATTATAATAATTCTAATTAATACATTTTAATTTTGTATTCCATACTATTTTCAAAGTACTATTTTGACTAAAATAAACAGTAATCCATTTGTACCTTCAATAAATTTTGAATAATTTTTTTGCAACATTCTGTATATTCCAGTTTAATAGTATTGACATTATAATTCTAATTATTACATTTTAATTTTGTATTACATACTATTTTGGCTGAAATAAACAGTAGTTCATTTGTACCTCCAATAAATTTTCAAGATAAATTGCAAATAAATTGATATATTTTTTGGAACATTCTGTATATTTCTCAATATTCAAGTTTAATAGATAGTATTGACATAAAAAATCTAATTATTACATTTTAATATTGTATTCCTTACTATTTTGACTGAAATAAACAGTGGTAAATTTGTACCTTCAATAAATTATAAAGGAAAATTGATATAACTTTTTGGGAACATTCTGTATATTTCTTAATATTCAAGTTTAATAGTACTGACATTACAAGCCTAATTATAACATTTCAATTTTGCATTCCTTACTATTTTGAATGAAATAAACAGTAGTTCATTTGTACCTTCAATAAATTATGAAGGAAAATTAATATATATTTTTTTGGAACATTCTGTAAATTTCCTAGTATTCAAGTTTAATAGTATTGACATTACAAGCCTAATTATAACATTTTAATTTTGTATTCCTTACTATTTTGAATCAAATAAACAGTAGTTCATTTGTACCTTCAATAAATTATGAAGGAAAATTAAAATATTTTTTTTGGAACATTCTGTATATTTCTTAATATTCAAGTTTAATAGTATTGATATTACAAACCTAATTATAACATTTTAATTTTGCATTCCTTACTATTTTGAAAAAATAAACAGTAGTTCATTTGTACCTTCAATAAATTTAATTATGAAGGAAAATTGATATAATTTTTTGGAACATTCTGTAAATTTCCTAATATTCAAGTTTAATAGTATTGACATTACAAGCCTAATTATAATATTTTAATTTTGTATTCCTTACTATTTTGAATGAAATAAACAGTAGTTCATTTGTACCTTCAATAAATTTAATTATGAAGGAAAATTGATATAATTTTTTGGAACATTCTGTAAATGTTCTAATATTCAAGTTTAATAGTATTGACATTACAAGCCTAATTATAACATTTTAATTTTGTATTCCTTACTATTTTGAATGAAATAAACAGTAGTTCATTTGTACCTTCAATAAATTATGAAGGAAAATTAAAATATTTTTTTTGGAACATTCTGTATATTTCTTAATATTCAAGTTTAATAGTATTGATATTACAAACCTAATTATAACATTTTAATTTTGTATTCCTTACTATTTTGAATGAAATAAACAGTAGTTCATTTGTACCTTCAATAAATTATGAAGGAAAATTAAAATATTTTTTTTGGAACATTCTGTATATTTCTCAATATTCCAGTTTAATAGTTAGTTTTGATATTATAATTCTAATAATTACATTTTAATTTTATATTCCTTACTATTTTGACTAAAATAAACGGTAGTTTATTTGTAGCTACAATACATTTTGAAAAAAAATTTATATATTTTTTTTGGAACATTCTGTATATTTCGCAATATTCCAGTTTAATAGTATTGATATTATAATTCTAATTATTACATTTTAATTTGATATTCTTTAATAACTTTTAATGAATTAGATAACGATCATTTGCACACGCATTAACCCCCCCTTTTGTATTAACACATTTCACTTACCATCTAAAATTAAGTTTCCAATTGAAACCACCCCAGGTCATGTCGGAAGCTGTAATATATTCAAAAGTTTCATCTGATATAACGTCTATAATAGGACACACAACGGTTTTTCTATTCTCTACTATTCTGGCAAGAAGTGGCTCTAACCAACCCTCTGTACATTCACAATGAGCATCTAGGAAAGTAATGACCTAAAAGAGAAGTTAGTATTAAAATAAAACAAAAAAATGATCTATTTATTATTTCACCTGTCCAGTAACTTTTTTTGCTCCTAAAAGCCTAGCCCGGATTAGACCTGATCTTTTTTCAGTTCTCAATACATAAGTAGGTACTGGAAGAGTTTTAACGTAGTTTTCTAATTTCCTACCCAAATAATCTAAAAATAAATTATTATTTAAATATTTCATTCTAAATATTATTACAATTTCTAATTGTGGTTTAGAGACAGATTATCATTTAGAGACCAATTGCTAGAAATTTTAAACAAATATTTAAAAAAATATATATACCGGGTGCGTCTCAAAAGTGGCTAACACCTATAACTTTTTTGTTTTTTTTTTCGATAAAAATACGAGATTTAGTATGTTAGTATATGACATAAATTAGGATTGATTGACGTATTCAATTGTTTTCGGTTACTTCCTGTTTCTCCAGAAATGACTTCAACTTTTGTTTTTTATATGGCACCATTGGAATTTGTGTTTACTTTATTTGATAGAAATGAATAGAATGACATAACATATGTCAACTTTTGACATTTTCGCATATGGTTTATTTAAAATTGTAACATGCGGTTCCTAACAACAATTTTACTTGAAATACCAAGTATGTAGTACCAAATTATTGGTAAAAAATTGGGCAAGTGCGAGTCGGACTCGCGCACGAAGGGTTCCGTACCACTCATTATCTCTACAACATTAGACACTATGTTATTATAAACTTTTTTCCGATTTAGCTGAAATTTTGAATGCGCGTATAAGTAATTTAAAAAAAATGAAGAAACACATTACTAAAAATTGTATTAATCAATAATAAATATGTAAAAACTAAAATAAATATGTAAAAATATGTAAAAATTAAACAAAAACGATTAAAAAAAGTCGCCTTGACTAGGATTCGAACCTGCCTTACTACGGCTCCAACGATATAGCAGCCGTAAAGTCCTAACGCTTTAAACCACGCGGCCACTGAGGACTTAAAAGATTCTATGTAAAATTCTTACTTAAAAGATAATGTTTAGTGAAAGTACTTTTTTATTTATAAATAAACATTTATTTAATTCTGTTTTTAGTATTTGTTCTTATAGCGGCAACATAGATACATTATCTGTAAAAATTTCAACTCTCTGACAGGCTGATGGACAGACGGACGGACGGACAGACAGCGAAGTCTTAGTAATAGGGTTCCCCTTTTTTACCCTTTGGGTACGGAACCCTAAAAAATGCTTTTTCCAAATATGTTAATCAGTCACACTCATTCCATTTCAAAAAATGAGATATGATTAAAAATTCGTTTTGGACATCTTTTAACTGGCCAGGACAAGACACTAAAACATTAGACAATCAAATCTATTTTTCCATGGCCCTTGATTAAAAATTAGTGTTTTTAACACAGCTATGACACTCTAAATTGAAATTTAAAATACTATTTTTAAGCGAAAATGTCAAAAGTTGACATATGATATGTCATTATATTCTAAGTGTCATTTTCTATCCAATAAAGTAAAAAAATACCAAGGGTGCCACTTAAATATCAAAACTTGTAGTAATTTCCGGTGAAATAGGAACCAATGGAAAAGAATTATTGAATACATCAATCAATCATCAATCCTAATTTATGTCATTTACTAACATAGCAAATCTCGTTTTTTTTTGAAAAATAAAAAAATTATAGGGGTGAGCCACTTTTGAAAATTAAAAGTTATTTTGTGGTTTATTATATTTTTTTTTAATTAAAAACTAAATTTATATGACTTTTATTTTTTATAAAAAGAAGTAAATGTTATTGATACAAATTTAATAAGCAATCAACTACCTCTTTCACTTGCATCATCAACTAAGATAATTTCTTTTAATAAGTTTTTTGGAGATCTATTAATAGCACTCCAAACTGTTCTTAAAAGTGTTGTCCATGCTTCATTGTGAAATACAATTACAATGGAAGTAGCGGGAAGAAGCCTTGGATAGACTTTAGTTTTACACCTAAAAAATAGGTTTTATTAAACAGATTTTATGTATATCACAGAAATAAATATAAACATTAAAACTAGATAGGTTGTAACCTATTTAGTAGATTAAAATACTTAAAATTTTTGGTGAAATCATTATTGTAATGTGAAAGTTGTAATAGTTTAGGTAACCAATTGGCAAATTCAAAACCACTTAATTTACTATTACTAATTGGAAATGTGCTTAATTTCATAATTGTTATTAGTAAATTATAAACCAAAATGGTATGACAACAAAATTTTTTATAAAATTATCAAACATTTCTAGTTTAAAAAAGACAATATATACAATTTTTTAATTAAAAAGACCTAAAAACCTATATATCATAAAAATATTCATACAGACACGTGGAAAGTGAGTCAAACTGAACCAACCAACCAATTAGTTCCACTAAACTCCAAGAAAATAGATCGCCTCATGTGAAAATGTGTAATTCAAGGTAGAATTACCACATATTATACCTTGTAAAAACAATATATATCATATGTAGCCACACTTATCAGGCTACGTCTTTATTTCTAAATACTCAGATTCTACATCAAGATAAAATTATGTACAATAAGGCGCAGCATTGTTACTTACCCTTCTAATCTAACATCTTGCAATGATCTGTTCAAGGATATCATGTCACTTGCTAATAAATTAAATTGATTTAATTTAAATTTTTCTTTCATCAATTCCTCTTGACTAGAAGGTATATGTACAGCTTTACCCTTTTCCCCAACTTTGCCTGATACAGGCAAAACAACAGGTGCTGGTCGCCATCTGTTCAGCACCGATGGATGATACGTTAAAGAAAATCCTTGCAAATTACTATCAGTCTCCCTAAAATTAAATTTAGATACATTAAAAAAACATCTATAAGCTTAAAACATAAAAATATAAAAGAATAAGATTATTGTCATTACTTATACCCTAAATATCTTTATCTATTTATGTTAAAGACATATAGTTATCAATTCTGATTTTTAGAAGAATCAACTAAATTCAAAAAATCAGAAGACTTAATTTACTTTACCTTTTATTTATTGGTAGCTCTTCTATTTTGTTTTCTTCTAAGGGGAAGTCATAATCTTTAGTGTCCCCTACGAGGGGCTGTGCCTCTGGGGTTTTTGGTTTACATGATCCCCCAAGGCATTCTGAATAAAAACTTAAAATAACTACATCCACTAAAAACCATACTAACGAGGTTAAAAGGATTACCCTGCAGGTATGTATTCTGAGTTTTCCGTGTAACATCTTGTTTGTATTTGATAAAATTAGTTTTTAAAACACTATATACATTACTGAAACTCTAAACTAATTATCACAGGTTAGACAGATTATGAATAATCAGCAAAAAATTGCTGGGAATTGTCTGGTAGATAGGAAATGTCAAGAAAATGGAAAAAATGTAAACAAATTTTCCGATGTTATTGTCCTAGGGTGCCTTGTGTTTTCGACACATTTCGATTCATTATCACTCAAGATCTTAAAATGGTGCAAAATAGGAAAATATTCTGCTCGCTTTCACTAAAAAAATCATAATTATTTGGTTTCGCACCTAGATTTATTTACACGTCGACATTTACCACGACTCGGAGAACTTGACAAAATCTTGACACTTGACACGGAATCCACCCCTCTCAACCCTCACCCCCCCCCCTAAATTAGTACATGTACATATGTCACAACCAAGGATGGGTTGAACGTTAAAACTAGTTTTTTACACAGCAGATCATTTAAAATTCTTTTTTTGTTTTTTACGTGCACTTTCCGCCAATACTTTGCCGAATTTTGTATAGACAAAGACCAAAACCATCAAAATATTAAACTTGTAATATCCAAAACCGTAAGAAGTAAGCAAGTAATATACGTAAAAACTGTAAGAAACGCTGTAAACGCTTATCCTAATTTTTAAACGTTCATATCCAATTCATATCTCCATATTTCTGTTCACGCCACAGGTTCACGCCCATTCCTCGTCGCGCAACCAATTGCAGAAATCTATTTTACAACATGAAGTTGTAGTCGATAAAAAAATCTACGTCTTTAAAAAAAATAAAAATAAGAAGCCGTAACAAAATGGCGTTGACCTGTTATTGGAATTGTTGAGGTCGGTCGGTACGTTTTCTAATATTAGATAGTGTATTTGGTGTTATTTATGTTTGAATGAAAATTTGTGGACAGTATAGTAGTGTTTCATTACGTTACTTGTTAGAATCTCGAGAAAAGTAAGTTAAACCGGTTTATTTGCCACGGCTTCGTATAAAATATGGCTGCTTCTTAGAACAATTTAGAACTATTTAATGAATATAAAATTGATAGTAGGTGCACTTTTTCAGCCATGTCGGAGCAAGGGGACGTGCAGCAGCCTAGTAGCCCTGCAGAGAGGGACAAGGCACCATCAAGAGTCATTATCTCAGAGTCTGAGATATCCACTTTGACGCCTACAGAATGGGTAAACCGTTGGCATCAGCAAGAATCTTATATCACTAGTTTGGAACGGAGACTCTCTCTTCAAGAAGGTACTTAGTTCAGTTTTTTTTATTGTGTTTTAAATGCGCTCTGTGCTGTATCATTGTTGGTGCAGTGTAGTGAAGTGCGTGGGGTGGCAAGTTTAATTTCGGTTAACTCCTGTCGTGTATTACAGGGGAAATCATCGAGATTCGACAAATCAATGATAGATTAAGGGGGCAGTTGCATGACTCACAGCAGAGGGAGAAAATGCTTGTTCGTAGACTCACAGCTAAAGAACAGGAAACCCAAGATTTTGTGGTCAGTATGCGAAGCAACCAGGGCCAATTGTTCTTAACTATGTATCTACAGTGATAAAAATGTGGCTAAAGTGCTTTATGAAAAGTAATTTCAAAGTAATTCAATCGTAAAGTTGGTAATTAAGCAATCAATGTGCGGTGATTAAAAGTTGTGCTCGAAAAAATGTTTTGTGCAGAGGTGTTCCAGATGAAGCTAAAATATATAGCACTATGTTTCTGGAATAGTGTGTATACACTTTATGGTTACAGAAATTATTTTCTGATAAGTAGTTTTTGATACAATGTGAATGGGGAAGTTATATAAATATGTCTATTTAGGTAAAAATTTTAACAGCTGAGTAAAACGATTCTCTGAAAATGTTTACTATTTATAAATATTAAGTACAGAGCATTTTCTATTTAGCTGAAGGCTATTATAGTGTCTTCTTGAGAGATTCCTTTTAATGAATTTTAAGTAAATATATTTAGTACCTACATGAAGTGATAATCATATTGAAAATAAGACATTGAAGTATCAATTACAAGATAACTTTAATTGCAAGTAGTCTTATAATAGTTATGGACATGAGTAGAGAGTAAATACTAATTAAAATTTGTGTGTTTACTGGTCGTGTTTTAAAAATGTGAGTAAAAATAGTAAATACTACCAATACCAATTGATATTTATGCTAAAAATTGTGATTCCAAAATTAAAATGTCAGTCATGTTAATTAATTCCAAGTTATTTGGAATATTTTTACAAAAAGTTTGGAATATGTATAGTAAAATATTGTATGATCAAAAAAATGGGGTCAGGTTTACTTGGAAATGATGGTCAAAGACATTCACCATATAAATTACCTATAGAATGACAGCGATCCTCATTTGAAAGCCAGCTCTGATGCAATTTTTCTTCCAGTCATGTGGTATATTACCTATAAGGAAAAATAAAGTACGAAATTATGACTTGTCAGGAGAAAAACTGAAAATGTTATATGCATATAAGTAATTATTGACAAAATTAGAGAGTATTCAAGTATTTTGTATGCATTCAAGTAGTTTAGTAAAATCTTAAGAAATATGGACTGTTATAAAATATAAAAGTAGATTTTGTCATAAAATGTATTAATGACTATAAAGACCTAGCAGATAGTATTTATATCTATTGTAAATTTGAATTGTTTAGTCCTTTTATTTAAACTTATTTCTTGATTATAAATTGAATGTAATTAGTTTACTGATTATTATATACCGGGTGCATCTCAAAAGTGGCTCACGCCTATAACTTATTTTTTGAGATAAAAGAACGAGATTTGGTATGTTGGTATATGACATAAATTGGGATTGATTAACATATTCAATTGTTTTTGGTCACTTCCTGTTTCACCGAAAATGACTACTACTTTTGATTTTTAAATGTTACTCCCGGTATATTTTTACTTTATTTGATAGAAAATGATATTCTGAATAGAATGACGTATTGTATGTCAACTTTTGAGATTCTCGCTTAATAAAAAATGGTATTTTAAATCTTAATCTAGAGTGCCATGGCTATGTTAAAAACACTAATTCTTAATCAAGGAGCCTTGGAAAAATAGATTTGATCGTTTAATGTTTTTAGTGTCTTGTCTTGGCCGGATAAAAAATGCACAAATCGTATTTTTAATCATATCTTTTATTTTTAATCAATTTTTTCAAATGGAACCAGGGTGACTCATTAGCATATTTGGAAAAAGCATTCTTTTACGCATAATTTGATACCACACACTTGATATTTCAAGTCAAATTTTCGTTACGAATCGCAAGTTATAATTTCAAATAAAGCATATGCGAAAATGTTAAACTTGACATATGATATCTCATTCTATTCAGAATGTTATTTTCTATTGAATAAAGTAAAAAAATAAAAAATACCGATGGTGCTATTTAAAAATCAAAAGTTGTAATCATTTCCGGTGAAACAGGAAGTGGCCGAAAACAATTGAATACGTCAATTATTAATCCCAATTTATGTCATATACCAACATAGGTACCAAATCTCGTTTTTTTATCTAAAAAAATTGAAACGTTATAGGGGTGAGCCACTTTTGAGACGCACCCGGTATAATAATCAGCAAAATGATTGTTTACTGATTATTATTTATAATAATATATTTACTAATTACTGACATGCATATAATATGGTTACCGCTAAGTCATAGTTTACCAAATGACTTGAAACTATTAAATCAGAGATTAAATGCCCAGCCCGAAGTCAAAAGTTTCAATGCAATATTTTGCCCCTGTATTTTTTTTTAAAGAAAAGCTATTACATTGTTATTATATAATTATGGTTTTCTTTGCATTTTCGATTAAATAATTTTATTTACTGTCCTTCCTTCCAGTTAATAGAGAACAACGGCATACGGTCGAGTCGGCCGCTCCTGGCACGTATACGTAGACGTAAAGAATCTTTTACGTGTATAAAAAATAGAAAATATAAGAAATGCGCATGCGTACGTAAACGTTTACGTGTTTCTAGGCCGACTCGACTGTATGCCGTTGTTCTCTAATAACACTGATTTCTAAACAGTTAAAATTTTATAAAATCAGAAGGAAAATTTAATGCTTTTAAATCAGAGACAACTGCTCTTAAATCAGAGACAACTCTCTACCTTTGTATATCAATTTGAAAAAAAATATGTTTGTAAGTAAATGCAAATAGTCATACCTAAGTTTTAAAAGTCGGAAGGATATCACTAAATACTTTTAATATTTCCTGTGACAAAGTCGTTTAGTGGGGATTGTATATTTTTAAAATATTTTCCACAATGTGGATATTTCAGCAACATTACTTGAAAAACTAATTTTGGTTACTACCTACTTAGCTGTTATTTTTTTATCTTAAATAGAATAAATACTATGCCTACACAGGGTGCTACAAATTCGGGGTAGAATGTAGAATGAGTGGGAGGGGGGGTTAGAATGTAGATTGTTTAGGGGGGGAGTTAATCACTGCGACCTTACAGACCTAACTCATCATACAGTCTCAAACTTTTTCGAGTGTCTTAGACCGTTGGAGGATACCCATTACAAGTTACGGATGGAGTCTTCCAGATTCTTCAGTTCCGCTTTTAGTTGGTTCCCGTTTGGAAAACAGAACGGTTCTGGTCCAGTTAGTGGAGTGTTCGCTCCTTTCCTAGCTAGATCATTTGCTTTTTCATTGCCTTTTATCCGTGGGTGAGCAGGCACCCAGAGTAGGAGGACTTCATTTTCTTTGCCTAATTTGTTGAGCTTTTCTAGGCATTCTTTGACCAACTTCGAATTGATGGTTTTTAGAATTTAGAATAAGTGGGAGGGGGGTTAATCTCTGCGACCTTAGAGATCTATTGTGTCCCCTTTTCTTGAGTTATAACTCATCATACAGTCCCAGGATTTCCTACGGAGACCCGTGTCCCTCACAGTCGAGGAGCTACGACCCAGGCCGGGTAGACGAAACGGTAGCTTGTGTCGCCTGTTGGGTTTAGAGTTAGGAGGTAGGCTCCCGACCCTTGGAGGAGGTGGTAGCTTGTATGCCACTTGCTGAGGATGGTCTCACTCAAGTGTCAGCCACCTCTCCTGTAGTTCTCTTTGGGTTTGGCCCCTTGGAACTTTCATTGTTACTGTTCCCAGTGTCGCTAGGGGCTTTCCCCCACAGCTTCACCGGTGATGTTTTTATTACTATTATTACCAGATCTCATAGTGTTCCTATGAGTCGCTAGGGACAGTCGGTCCACTTCTACAGAGCCCCGCATGTAGAAGTAAGGGGTAAAATACAATGGGGTGCCCACCGGTGCCCCAAGGTTGAGGCTGTCCGTAGCCCCGCCCGGTATCGTTATATGTCTTGGTGCAATTCCCTGGCCACGACACTACAGTCAGTCAGGGACAAGACGAGGAGTGAGATGCTTCTTAGACCAAGCCAAGTGCTAGAGGGGATTCCCCTCAGCACCTGACCAGGAGCTTCCCCACCAACGACAAGGTCTTGCATTTCCTAGGGGAAGGAATTGATGGTTACTGAGTGGATCGTGTTTAGTGCTGCTTGACTATCGGATAGGATGGCAATTTCCTGTTTTCGATAGTTCCTATCTTAGATAAATTGTACGCATCTTTCGATAGCGTAAATTTCTACCTGAAGGATACTGGGGTAGGTGCCCATTGGTTCGGAGTATTTGGTCTTCGGCCCAAATACCCTGTCGCTGCTTTGGTTTTGGAAGCATCAGTATACCACGTTATGGCATGGTCTTTTATATGCTGAGTAAGCGTTTCTTCCTTCCAATCCTTTTTATTACTCAATACTACAGTGAGGTGTTTCTCAAAGGTGTAAATTCTTGGTATGTCATCCGCTGGGAGTTGGAGAAGTGGAATTTTCTTTTTGAGGGTTTTCCAAGCCCCTGACCTGAAAATTCTCCCAGTACTGTTACCGTCAATGACCATTCTAATCATTGTCGCATTGGCATAACTACCGACTACAATGTGCAGTGGTATTAGGTCTAAAATGACCTCCATTGCTGCTGTTGGACATGTTCTCATGGCACCTGTGATGCAGATACATGCCAGTCTCTGTACTTTGCACAGGTGTACGTTGCTCTAGTTTTGTATACCAAGCAACTGCTCCATAGGTAATCATGGGTCTTACTATCATGGTATACATCCAGCAAAAAATGTTAGGGGCGCAGCCCCACCTATTTCTCACACACTATTTCAGTCACCGCTACCTTACATATCTATTGTGTCCTTTCTTGAGTTACAACTCATCATACAGTCCCAGGGCTTTGACAAAAGCCAGTATCTGGGACGTTTTTTACAGAGGGTAGTTTTCCATCTCTAATGTCAGTTAAATTTTTTCCATCACCAAAGTTTTTTGCACGAATCTCTTCTCGGCGCACCCAGTGATGAGGTGTTCTGATTTTTCCAACCACAAAATCTGCATTGTCATTTTTTCTTAGTTTCAATCTACTGAGGTGTTCATTGAGGAGGCAGTGTCCTGTTAAAAACTCCGCGATAATCCGAACAAAGGGATTTAAATAAAAGGAAAAAATAAAAGTGATTTTCAAAAAAAGTTTTTTTCCAAATAACTCAGCAATCCTTGAAATTTTTGAACCTTTTTTGATAGCGTATTTGTGAACATCCCAAGGCACAACTTTGCCCCAATGTTACGGTTTCCGAGATATCAATGCTCGTACCCTGAATTTGTAGCACCCTGTATAAATGATCACACCATTGAGTTTGAGTGTTAAAGATTGTTGTACAAAACAAATGCATAAATGTTATTTATATCAAATAAGTTTACTAAATGTATTTTTATTATAATAAATGAGTCCTAATGATATAATAAATTATTTTTTGTAACTGCCTGATAAAAGGCTCTTATGGATTTTAAAGTGTACTCAAAATTTGTATAAAATGATACACAGTTAAGTATTCTTAGTTGCTGGGACTACAAACAAATCAGAATTCTGTATGATTTTTTTAAATTAAGTACCACATTTAGTCTATTTGGTAAATATGATTGAATGTAGAAAATAATTTAGGGTATTTTATTAAAATTATACTTACTACTATTTTAATAGTTTTATTATGTCTATTAAAAAAAATTGTGATGTCAAACAGTTATAATTTATTAATTTTATTAATTATTATTAATATTCACAAAAGGACTGGTATCTGAAGAACATAGTTAAGAACATTTGAGTGCCTTGCAACGAAGTTTTTTTTATTTTTGTATGTAGATTTTTTATAATAAAGTTAATAAAACCAATTTTAATTACATTATACGATGTTTATTTCTAATTTTTATAAAATAATTGAAGTTATTTTCAAAAATATGTTTTTGTTTTTCTCACAGTGTCAACTAAACGAATTAAAAAACTCCCAGGCCCCAACCATTCCTTCACTTCGGTCGGCAATGTTGGACCCCGCTGTAAACAGTATATTGCAGCAACTGAGGCAGGAACTACAGGAGACGAAAACGAAGTTAGAAAATACCCAAAACGAGCTCTCAGCATGGAAATTCACCCCGGACAGCAATACGGGAAAGAGGCTTATGGCCAAATGTCGATTGTTGTATCAGGAAAATGAAGAATTGGGAAAAATCACGAGTTCCGGCCGAATAGCGAAGTTGGAAAGCGATCTGGCATTACAGAAAAGCTTTTCGGAAGAAGTGCGCCAGTCCCAAAACGATCTGGACTCGTTCCTGGCCGATCTGGACGAGGACGTGGAGGGAATGCAAAGTACAATTTTGTTCCTACAAACCGAACTAAAGCTCTCCAAGGAGCACGTCCAGACGTTACAAAAGGAAAATAGTACACTTAAAATGACTAATGGTCGATCGAACGGTGATAGTAACAGTGTTTGTGAACAGGAACGGACGGACTCCGATACCGAACTCGATAGGACACGTGCTAAAAGAGTTAGAAGGTCGTCCGTGTTAAGTATTGAATATAACGATGACGATGCGTTAGTGATTGGTTCGAATGGAGATGTTGCCATGTCTTCAGACGTCGATTAAGTTCATATTTCGCGTTGGCTTATGCCTGATGGGTTACATTTTTTGACAAAAACTAAGAAAATTATTTCAAATATGTATTTGGAACTTTACTATTTTTTTTAAGTTATCTCTTTATTGAAGGACTTTTAACAGATATACTTTTCTTATATACAATTAGAAATTACAAGAGAATTTTAATCTTTCTGTCAGTCATAGCTACTTGATCATAAAACTTTATAAGCATACAATACTTTTTACACCCTAGTAATGTTTTTATTATGATTTTACATAACTCATGCTCATTCTTTATAAACGAATGAGAAAAATCAATGTATGTAAAGTAAAATTCATGAATGAGGCACAATACTTAAATTGCAATACAAGAAAAAACTTTGCTACTATTTCAATACTTAGAGTCTATCTTCCTAGTTTTTATGCTAGAAACGACTGACAAATAAAAAGCTCAACGTAAAAATATCATGCACACAAATATACATATACTTATTTTTTTCCTTATAATACTTGGGAAAAATGTGTCCTGGTAAAAGAAAATTTAGGGCTGGTTTAGGGTGATAATAAGCAGGGCACACTTCATAATAACTATCATTTGCTGAGTTTTATAATCAAGTAGTTTTTTTACTTGACTTGAGTTTTTTAAAAGAAATTACTTATACATTTTCCCAAAAAACTTTATCATATTTTATTTATGATTATATTGACCGTGTAATATACAGGGTGGTCCGAACTGTATTCCGGAAACTTCGGTAGCATATTCTGCAGATAAAAATAAGTAAAAAAGTTCGTATAAATGTATGTCCTAAAATGCTTAGTTTCAGAGATACAGGGTGTAGAAGTTTCATTTTTATTTCCATTTTTTCTAAATATTTTCTCAAGTAACGTCAATATTTGATGTCAATGGGTGTCAGGTAGTTTTTTGATATGAGAAATTTAATTTTAATGTCATTATGGCTCCTATTTGTAGAGGGCGCCACCTACATGTGTCTTAATTGTTTTGAACAGTAATAGCTTTTTGTCCATACCTGTATAGAACTACTTAGTGAAAAAATATACATTTTCTTAATTTTTTAGGTGAAAAATGTCTCTTGGTAAAAATCGTAACGAACAACCCTTCTCGAGATATTTAGAATGGAAAGTCAATACATGTCATTATTGACAAAAATTAAATATGTTGAGTAGAGATAGTTATTTGACTGAAATGATAAATTTGGGAAATTTTTATTTTTTTAAATTAATCATAACATTTTCTTCGAAAAAATGATGATTGATGATGATTTGGCACAAAATATTTCAAATTTATGATTTCAGTCTATTAACTATTTAGTCAACATGTTTAATTTATGTCAATGATGACAGGTACTGATAATTTCGATTTCAAATATCTCGAGAACTATTACTCGTAGCGATTTTTATTAAGAGACATTTTTTACGTTAAAAACGTCGTAAATGTATATTTTTTTACTTAGTAGTTTTATACAGGTACGGACGAAAAGTTCTTACTCTTCAAACAAGTTAAAAATATGTAGGTGGCGCCCTCTACAAGTAGGAGTCATATTGACATCAAAATCAAATTTCTCGTATCAAAAAACTCCCAGACACCAAATTTCATCCAAATATTGACGTTACTTCAGAAATTATTTGGAAAAAATCGAAATAAAAATGAAACTTTTACCGTGATCCTTTACGCTGATCCTCTCCGAAACTAAGCATTTTAGGACATACATTTATAAGAACTTTTTTACTTATTTTTATCTGCAGAATATGCTGCCGAAGTTTCCGGAATATAGTTCGGACCACCCTGTATAATTTTTTAAATATATAATTAGAAACTTTGGTCTGAAGAATGTAATAGACTGAAACATTACTGATATCTGTGCTGATATTAGCATTTCACATCCTGTTTAAATTTTCCTTTTCTTTTACTGAGTTATTACTTTCGTCATAACAAAAATATGACAGGCCGGTATTTCTCTGGAATATAATTTAAAAATCACTTTTTTTTCTTTTTAACAAATTTTCAACAGTTGTGTAGAAAATATGACCCATCATGTATACTTACAATACACAAGAATTGTGTAAGTAAGATTAGTAAGTTATTCGATTATATGGACAGTTTGGCTTCTGTTGTGAGTGAAAATTATCCATCATAAACTGACGAACAGTATATAAAATTGCAAATTGTATATAAGATTTTAGATAGAAATTGGTCTAAATATAGTATATATTTGAAACGTCTACAGTGTTGTTGAGGTGAAGATTTTATTATTCGTTCCTGGTCTAAAATTAAATAATAAATAAATGTTATGTTTGAAATAAAAACGTATATATTTAAATGGTTTGCAAAAATTTGTCAATCGCATTTTCTTATAGCTATACCGTTAATACCGTATGATCGAAAAAGCGGCGTCAAAGCAAAAAATGACGAATGACGACGATGGTATTCACCATATAATTTTACATATACTGGGTGGATCTCACAAGTGGCTCACCCCCTATAACTTTTTTATTTTTTCCGATAACAAAACTAAATTTGGTATGTTAGTATATGACATAAATTAGGATTGATTGACGTATTTAATTGTTTGGAATGTCCGGAAATGACATACGGTGACATATCATATGTCAACGTTTGATATTTTCGCTTAAAAACAAATCGTATTTTAATTTTCTTTATCTTAAGTGCCATGATAAAATCATTAATTTTTAATCAAGGAGCCTTGACAAAAATTTGACCGTATAATGTTTAATATTTCGTGTTTTGTCCTGGCTGTTTAAAAGATACCCAAATCGTATTTGTAATCATATCTCAATTTTTTCAAATAAAACAAGGGTGGCTTATTAGCGTATTTGGAAAAAGCATTTTTTTACTAATAATTTGGTACCATACACTTGGTATTTTGAGTCAAATTATCGTTATGGTTATGAACCACGTACATGTTACAATTTCAAATAAACCGTATGCGAAAATGTATATATCATTCTATTCAAAGTGTCATTTTTTATCGAATAAAGTAAAAAATACTGAGGGTATGATTTAAAAGTCAAAAGTTGTAGTCATTTCCGGTGAAACTGGAAGTGACCAAAAACAATTGAATACGTCAATCAATCCTAATTTATGTCATACTAACATACCAAATCTCGTTTTGTTATGTGAAAAAATGAAAGTTATAGGATGAGCCACTTTTGAGACGCACCCTGTATATAAAATGTCAACCATCGTCATTTCCGACGTTTCTCGTCGCTATTTTTTTCAGTAGTATGGTACGTTTTATTTTCTTTAAATAAATATCTAAATCGATTTCTTTATAATAATTTTCTATTTTAACTAGATATCAAAATCCCCTAATTAAACGTTATTTAACCTTCCATATAAATAATATAGATTTTTTTATGAACTAATGAGTATTTTGAGAGTATACTAGAAAAAAATCTAGAAAGAATTTTTATCATTACATTTTTTGAGAATTGTTCATTACGAAAAAAAAATAACCGTTTTTATGATATAATTTACTTTATTAGATAAACTTTGTTGGGGCAATAATGATTGAAAATTAAAAAGGTATTTTTAATTTATTTAACACAATGAAATTAGAGCTCCATGACGGTGTTAAAAGAGTAAAAAATAAAATTTACAGAGATTAACTTTTGTGTTTTTGTTTACCTATCATAGGAGTTATAAAATACCGTATGATCGAAAAAAACGGCGTCAGCGATGGCTATGAAATGAAAATCGGTGTCATTTTATACAGAAAATGCCATCGATCGTCATTTCCCAGCCAACTAGACGCCGTTTTTTTTTCGATCATATGCTACAATTACATTATATTAAATTTTGCATTTATTATTTATTTAAAGAATAAAACTGTTTAATAAATAAAAAAAGCTTTTTATAAAAATGTATTACAAGTGATCAATTACTTTATAATATTTGAAGTGATTACAGGGATGACAGTTTGCATAAAAGTAATCATAAAAAGTAATGACCATGACCGTCATATTATGGTAATGGCAGGTAATGGGTAATTATTTTGGTTCCACGGTGACGTCATACCGGCGAGAATTTTAAGCCATGGAGCCATAAAATTATTAACCTAAATACAATATTTGATCTATAATTTGATCCAACCTTTAGACCACTGATTTGCAATTTGCAGCCATCTGTCACATTGTCGTTTGTCTTGTCCTTGTCTGTTATCTGTGGTCTTGTCATGTCAGGTCTTGTCGTCCATTTTTAAAACGAGTCGCTGTGGCTGGTGATATTTATGATATAAAAATATAAAAAATAAAAATATTCTTAATACTACTTCTAGAATTTGATTAGTGCATGCCATTATTCAGTGAAAATGTAAGTAAAATAGGTAGTTATTTAATTAAAAGTAGTCTACTATCAGCAACCGGCTTTTAGGGCTAAACCTGGTCCCGAACCCGAGACTGAACAAAAAGAGAAGAAAAAAGAACGGAGCAGAGACAAAAAGAAGCGTTCAAAGTCTGGATCGAGTAGTAGTGACGATAGCCGTAGTAGGTAAATTGAGAATCAGAATAATAAGACAATTCAAAATTTTAATATCAATAATTAGTTCTTCAGATAGTAGTTCTTCGAGCTCAAATTCTTCAAGCAGTTCAAGCAGCGGCTCGTCTTCAAGATCAGCATCTGTCGAGTTCAGTAGTTCTAGTTCAGATTCATCTAGCTCTTCCAGTGGTAATGAAAGAACTAGACCAAAAAGAGTAGTATATGTTGATAAAAAAGAAAAGAGTCGTAGTAAAAGTCGGGAACGGAAGGACAAAGATAAAGAAAAGGAGATTAAGAAAGAAGAGAAGGAAAAAGTGGAAGTAAAAAAAGATGAGAAAGAAAAGGACAAGGAAAGAAGGACTTCACCAACAAAAAATGATAAAGAAAAAAGTACAAGAAATAGATCTAGGTACGATTTCCTTTTTTATATATTATATATAACATAATTTATAATATTGAACAGTTAAACTAGTCTAGATTACTTAAAACTAATCTGATGTTATGTGTACAGGTCACGTTCTCCACGAAAGCGTCGTAGGAGATCTCCTACTCCACGCCCAACTAAAATCCACATTGGTCGGCTGACAAGAACTGTTAACAGGGATCATATTATGGAAATATTTTCAACTTATGGCATTATAAAGAATGTGGAGTTTCAAAAGGTAAACCAAACAGACATTTTACCAGGCTTTGCCATTTACTGGACAACTTTTAGGATCATAATCACACACACTTGGGTAGAGGTTACTGTTACGTCGAATACACTAATCCTGATGAAGCTGAAAATGCTATGAAACATATGGATGGTGGACAAATTGATGGGCAGGAAATAACAACAGCTCCAGTTCTTATTCCAAAACCTAGGTAGGAAACTTTTCTAAGAAAATACTTTTTAATACTAGGTTGTTTTTTGATTTTGGGGGTGATGGGTTCACATGAGAACTACTAAAGCTACTAAATAAATAACAAATATATAGGTTGTATTTTTATAAAATGGAACACCCTGTGTCTATTACATTTTTAGTCTATGATTTAAATGAAGGTAAAGTAATAAAAAAATGTACAACCAAATAGCACTCAAACCTTTTTTATTTACTAAATGTTGTGTTGCAATAGTAAAAATATAACTAGCTTATATAGGTTGTCTCAAAATTAATTCTAATTTATTACTAGCTTTAAACAGAACTTGTTTAATTTAAATGGAACAGCCTGTATGTTTTCCGAGAATCAGATACACAATTTAATTATCTATAAAATTGTAATTGAATTTTTTAGCTATCTCTGCAATGTTTCAGAAATATTTTTTTTTCAAATTCAGACTATATTTACCATTATTTATCAATTTACTTACTCATAGAATTTTGACAATTTATATATTTTTTTTAAATAAGAAATGTATTGTTTTGTAAGATGACACTGTATGTTATAAAAATAATTTAGAATTGTAGTTTTAACAGCGTTTCAGAGATCCCAGACTCACTATTTCTAAAAATTTATTATTCAGCTACAATACTTCACGTCAAATAGCGTGAATAATCTTGTGTGTTTCATATAGGCCTCCTCCAATGAGACGTTCGCCAATGCCCATGCGTCGTCCTCCAAACTATCGAAGAAGTCCAATGAGGTTTAGAAGACGTTCGCCTCCAAGAAGAATGCGTAGCCCTCCAAGAAGAAGACCTGCCCATTCTAGAAGCCCCCCACCTAGGAGGAGGAAGGCCAGATCTAGATCCAGTTCGAGCAGTTCCAGATAAGTTTGATACATAATTAATTTTGAAAGTACTACTTAAGTTGTGAGTTTTACACTAAAATTGTGGTATAGTGTGTAAATAATTTTTTTATGCAATTTGAAAGGGAAATGTATCAATTCACACTATATATCATTTCTGATTATTGTTTCAGTTTTAATTTAAAGATGTAACAAGAAAAATAAAAGATATAAAATTTTTTACTATTATTATTCGTTATAACAAATACCACATATTAACATATGTCAAACAACAATGGTTATGGTAACAAAAGGTAGGTGACAAAATATTGGAAAACTTAAAGAAAAATTGTTTGAATATTAATTTTACATTTAAATATCGAGTTTCATAAATAGTTTTACTATTTTTGTGAAACTTCTTTACGCGCGCTGGGAGTAAAAATTCAAAGCCGTGACACACAAGCTGGCGTCATGAAAAGTGGTAACGATAAAAAAAGTGCTAAGCCAATGAGAAAGTTGAGGTGGGGCTTCGGAGCGCCGTAACTGGGACCCTATGTGGCTCTATCTGTCCCCATCTTTTCATGATTTTTTGACGACGTTTTGTGCACTATGAAACCCAATTGCGAAAAAATCGTCTGATTTAAATGAAATTTGGTATGTTGATAGACTGGACCAAGGCCAACTTGACTGTGTACGATATGTGTCAAAAACCTAACCAAACTTGGTGAGTAGGCTCTGTGAGCGACGTTGCACATGGTCCCACCCTGCAAAGTTGGATACGACGTTTTGTTTACATCTTCATCAGGGTGGTATTAAGGATTTTATATTGAAGAAAAGTGTGGGTCGATTTCGGTATAATTGGGAGTGGGCTACAGGATGACGCTCTCGACGTTTTGAACCGATGCCTCTAAATGGACGAAATCATCAGGATTTTTCTTAATTATGAGTCGATTGGAACTAGACTCGGCACGTGGATGGAGGTAGCCGATTGGAGTCCTCAGACCGAGATTTTAATCCAAATTTTGCGAAAGTCAATAAAATTATTTATTACTTTTTCAACATTTCAACTACACTTCTTAAAATATGTCCTTCAAATCCTTCAATTTAATAGCTGTTAGCCTTGTATATGAATTTTTAAAGTAGCTCAACCTAAGACGTTTATGGATGTAAAGCACCAGATGGCGGGGCGTATTTCACAGTCTTTTACTACAGAAAAATATTTTTTGTTACTCTGAATTTTGAAGCGACCAATAAAAACAGAGAAAATAAAAATCGATAATTTTCGGACTGTGTCAATTGGTTACTAATCGACCAGATACTTTTTGTCTATTAGATATGCTATAAAAGCTGGTAATTATACAATTCGACCATTGTAAATACCCGACAAATTTCGCAAGGCCGACGAGGCCGATGCTTTTCACTGATAAGAAAAAAAAATGTTTGTTTAGATAATTTTCGAGATATTTTTTCTTTCTGAATGCACATTTTTAAAGTATTTTATATTCTTTGTCCGCTTGATTTATTATACTGGTTGCACGTATCGAGGTTCTGTTTCTTCTAGTTTTAAAAAATGTTCTTATTTCCTTGTAGTTGTAGTGGTTTGGTTTGGTTGTAGTTGTAGTGGTTGTAGTGTAAAATTAGATTAATTTTATTAAGTTTAATTATAATGTTTAGTGTAGAATACCAGAAATAGTTTAGTAGTGTTTTTATAGTTTATTATTTTGCAGTTAAGTAGTAGGTGAAGGGATAATATGGTTATTTTTTCTTTTTGTTTGATTATTTAGTAAGTTTGATAATTTTTTCAGTGTAGAAGTGGTTGAAGTAGTGAAGAAGTAGTTGTGTAGTGTTTTTATAAGAGATTATATTAGTTTATTTTGTAGATGAGTAGTAGGTGAAGGTATTTGGGTATTTTTTCTTTTTGTTTTTCTTCTAATTGTAGTAATTTTATTAAGTATTGTGATAGATACACTATATCTTCCTTCAACTTCATTGAAAAGTGCGTTATCATATAATTTTGGTTTTCTGGTAGTAGAATATACGAAAAAAAAAAAAATCTGATCAAATTTATTTTAAATTAAATTAATCGAGTTTTATTAATCAAATTAATCTAGTCAAATAATAATAATAGTTAGTTTCTAAATACTATACAGGGTGAGTTTCCTACGATGTTCTCTATGGGTATCTCGGAAGCTACTGGAGATAGAGAGTCGGTTAAATGGGAAAAAAATCATCGATCATACGGTATTTTAGACAAAAAGTTTTCAGATAAAAGTTGTAGATAATCACATACCTAATGAGTTTGTGTTTTCTGTTTTTTTTTCTAAAACCTGTCATTTTTGACATGACACAAACATTATGTTTTTTTTTAAATGGAAACCATAGTTGGCCATGACTTCATAAAAAGCGCCATTTTTTAAGCTTTTCAGCGATATAGGTATAATATGTTTTTTTCGAAAAATTACAAGTTATAGCCAATTCTTTTCTTTCTTGGCTAATTTCCATACCAATAATACCATGCCAATTAATTGGCATCAAAAATGTAAAAAGTTTCATATTTTCAAAAAAATATCATAAAATTCGTAAAGCACTCAATTTAGAATAAAATAATCTAAGAATGAAATGATTCTTTTATAAACCTGCATTAAATCAAATTAAAATAGGTATGTAACTTTTTTTAAATATTAATTAACAGCAATTAGCATTGTCTTAAATTATAAATAATGTACCAACATATCGAAATAATGATTTCTTTGTTAATACGGTTTAGAATTCTTAAAATAACAGGCAAAAATAATCCACAATTTACAATAAAATAAAAGTTTCGTTTAAATTTCTTAATCAGCTGATCACTATTATATACAAGTTCGGAGAAACCCTGGCTATATTATTACATTACTCTGAGGAAAATAACGAAAATAACTGATATTTTTGACTCCGCCCCGAAAGGTTCACGATTTGTCCTCCAGTTGGCAGCACATTTTGTCTAGTCGGTTGGCCAACTTTAAGAATATATAAACAACGCTGTTAGTAAGAAAATTCTCTTCAAATATGCTCGCATAGTGCACACACAATTTTTTTTTCGTTGAAATGATCAAAGTAAATTCAACATTGCAATTTTGTTTAGAATAGAGCATCAGGTCATTATTTAGATAGTATTTGAAATTATTTTAAATGTCTAGTTTAAAATGTTGGTTGTTAGGTTTATATTTTTATAATGCTAACAAAAATTAAATGGACCAACATTGAACCAGAATGTATTAGCTCTAGTTTTGACGAGATGTCGATATGTTGGGCAGGGGCGTGCGGTCCATGGAAGCGATGGAAACACTGCTTACCTATATGTTGAGACAAAAAAAAAACAAGTTTTTTTTATTAATAATTCACGACAAATAACATGAATTAAAGTAATATATTTTCTCTAAAAGATTGCTTATACAACGTGCCGGTAAATCGGGTAAATGCACTTGTTGGGTCGGAAGCTCACCTTGGAAGTGCGTCTCAAAATAGACGCGGTAACCTAGCTTTGAGGGACCCTGCCCCCTATAGCCACGAAGCAGAGGGCGACACCCAGGAAAACCAGTCGCATGGAAGCGCTCGTTTGACCACCTTTCCGCTTATTGTTCTTATGTAAATTGAGGAGAATAAAAATCATTTATTTCCTAGAATATTCAATGGTTTAATATTTTTTGCAATCTAAGGCACTATCTACTGCGCTTGTGGACAACAATAATATAGAAAACCGTGTTTGTATTGTGTGCTGAGTCTTAAAAAGATTTTTCAAGTCGCAATCTTCAAGATTAGACATTATTAATTTTGGTAGGCCCATTGACACAGGAAAACCAGTTGCATAGAAGCGCTCGTTTAGTCGCCTTCATATTGTTCATATCGTAAATTGACAAGAATAAAATCATTTTTTTCCTAGACAGTTTAGTGGTGTTTATATTTGTCTGCAATGCAGGAACCATCTGCATCTACTGCGCTTGTGGAAAACAATAATGTAGAAAACTGTGTTTGTATTGTGTGCTGAGTGTTGTGGTATACTTTTTTTACCGTAAAGCAGCCATGCATTAATCTTAAACTTGCAGTTATTAATTCCTGTGTGCACTAGTGCTCTCCAACGGAAGACAAAAAGTAACGATGCAATGAAGACTTGAAAGATAACATAAGGACCCCTTAATATTACCATTATTAATATGAAATTTTAAATTTAGCCTTTAATTGGATTTTAAATGCGAAAATACAGTATGAGAAATAGTGTTAATTTTGTCAACCCTGTAACTATTAAAAGGTTAAACCTATGAAAAAATGCATTTAACCAATTTTGTAGAGAATTTTGTCAGCTTTATTTTTATATATAGAGCGCTTTTCGGTAGATGTCATAGTTTCCGAGATATAAGCAAAAAAAATGAAAAAATTGATATTTAACTCCCCCCACTCCTCGCGCTCATCGTCTATCTTTGGAGACTTTTGATACATATCAGCCCAAGTCTCGAGAAATCATTTAAAACCATTTTCAAAACTGTGGGATTTTTTTCCACCGATTTCTCTAATTTGACTAGGCTAGAAGCATTTATTTCCTAGAAAGTTTAGTGGTGTTTATATTTTTTGCAATGAAGGATCTACTGCGCTTGCGGACGACAATAATGTAGAAAACTGTATTTATATTGTGTGCAGTCTTAAAAAAATGATTTTCAAGTCGAAAATTGCAATTGCTATATCCAGGAAAACCGCCGCATGGAAGCGCTTGTTCTAGTAGGCTAATGGACACCATTAATGTAGAGACAAAAATGGAAAAAACGACAAAGAAATTTACTAGGCAGTTCCACGTAGGGCTTTATGAAAAGTATGAATGATTAACTAGCCATTTAACCACTTATACTTTTGCACCTTGTGGAAAACAATACATAGTTCAGTTGCCAACGCGAATATCACTTGCAGAATTATGAACATGGTAAAATATACTATACAGTGCGTCTGTCCGTTCTGTAGCTACGGGGTATCCGTGACAGGGGAAACGATATTCTCTCGATGTTCTTCGTAAAAAATTAGAGGACGCGTCCCATCAATAAAAATTCGACAAACTTGCAAGTAGCCAATAAAATGAGCGGACGGAGCGATTTGCGGTGTTGTACTCGTCAAGTCGACGTATAAAATATATTGCAGTTTATTTAAATGTTTTTTGTCCGCATTCCTTTCATAGACACAGATCCAGCAGACGCACTTTAGATAAGACAAAAACAACTGATTGATGTTTATATAGTGTTTATTAAAAAAATACTCTTCAATAGAAAGATCATATATACAACAACAAAATATCGATCTTTAATTTTCAAGATCATTATGTCAGAATTTTCTAATTTATTTTTTATTTCTAAAATAATTGACTAAAGTACTTGTAAAAATTGAATTCATAAGTCTTCTTAGTTCGTACCTTTATACAAAGTGCGTTTTCTGGGTTAAAAAATGTAACTGAGAAATCTTTTTCTTATTACATTAACATTTTTATTCAGTTGGTATGTTTTATTTATTTATATTAAATTTTTATTAGGTCTAATATAAATGATCTGCTTCTTTTAGAAATATTTCTGTTGAAAGTTTCAAATTCCTCATTTTATAATGACGACTTTTTAATTTTCGATAGTCCTACAAGGTGTCTTACAAAATACTTTTTGCTTTAAAAATATCTATATACTTCTTTCAGTACTTTTTTTCTGAATCAAAGCTTAAACACAAATACTGTACTTAAAATAAATATAAATAAGCACGCCACAATTTTTCATTTGAGTTTCAAGCTTACCGTTTTTCACTGATGGTGGATCACACACATTAAATTATTTTTTATACTCCTAGCTCAATAAAGATATGAGTTATTATTATTAACTGACATTGTCAAATATTTTACAATAATGTTTAATGATCACTTCAAGAAATATTTTTCAGAAAGCGATTCAAATGTTTTTTTTTTATGATTTCAATAAGAAAATGAAATACCATTGCGATAAAAAAAAGTAGTACGACAAAATATGATTTAATATGCTGGTCTATAATAAAATATTTATAAAACTTGAAATTTTTTTGAAAGGTAGGTAAATTTTTTATACTTTTATTTCGCCACGTATACCCTACCAATTATTACCAAATTCATGGTAACGCCTAAAAAGTTAGGTGGCATAATTGTATTGTTTTCATAGTGACGACGATAGCCACTTCTCGATATCCTTATAGACCAGGAGTTCTATTTTTTTTATCGCAATGGTACCTATACTATGGTGACTTAAGATTGGAATAAAAATGTAATTTTGTGGCTGATTTAATATTTATTTGTGATGTATATGTGATATATGCGTCAAATCCTACTATTGTTTCGATTATGTTAGTCCAACTTGGGTAACTTAGACATTCACAAAACAAGAGACACTATATTAGAGGTAGAATGGAATAAATCCTTTATTACGCTAAACATGTTTTCACTAGACGTTTTAGTCTAGTTATCTACCAGGTCGGTATTTCTGACCTTGGCTGTCGATTTTCGCATGTACGAAGCCGTAGTCTAAACCAAACACAAGACTTTCCTTGCCGATAGGGTATATAATTAGACAACGGCCAGACGTATGAGTGATATTTCTCCAACGTCTACAACATATCAGTGGTTATTTTTTTGTGTATGGAATCAATTATTTATGCTTAAGAGGTAGCTTGTTTGGCAGTATTAGGGGAATGTCGATCTCCTTCGCAGAATTGCCAAAAAACAAGTTTGTTGGACAAAAGATCGGTTTTTAAAGCCATAGGAAATGGAATGTATGTCAAAATGTGCTACCACGTAATATTAAATTCCTTGAACAATACTAGACTTTGTAGATTATTTCTTTTTCTCTTTATTGAACCGCAAATCGTTGGAAAATCATTGGTTTTAATATGGAATACCTAGCTGGTCCTGAAAATATAAATTGCCCCAAGCAGTAGCGTCTAGAATGACGACAATGTTGAAATTAAGTATTCTTTTGGGAGTAGTCAAACTTTTCAAGTAGGGTAAACCTTGTATACCATACTGGACACTTCATTTCTTGCGATAGAGATAAATATAAATGACCCGTTGACAGACAGAGAAAGAGAGCGAAAATAAAAAGCGGCACACAGTATTGCCGGTTTTTATATGTGTAGGAAAATGTGTGCAGAAAAAAATAAACTATTTTAAAAATGTCCATGTATACTATTGAAATGGAGATAATATATCATATATATGGAGATAATATAGCTAAGCTAAATATAATCTAGCTCAGCTGTAGTTAAATGAGTAACTAATTGTGAAAAATAAAGTTCCAATCCCAGATGCAACATTTTTAATAAACGTCTACTTGTGCGGTTTGAAATTATGATGCAAAATCCGGCAATACCGCATAGAAGAAATGTATCAACCCAACTTTTATGTCTTTTTGACTGGCGTTTTGAGAAAATTTTGCTTTTGTTTGGTTTGAAAAGTTTTTCACCATCAAATATGTTTTTTTTAAGAGTAGAATTATTTAATGCAAAAGAATAATGAATATCAAGTATATAAAAATAATTGACTAAATATCGATTCATGTAAACATTTACTGAAGTTGGTTGTACACGCTTAATTAAAGGCTTATCTACAGTATGTCTCTGGATTGTCTTTACAAGAGGAAAAACTGTTTTGTTATTGACATTTTGAGAAAAAAAACGTACTTGAAAAGTATAAACGGGATTAACCATTTTAGAACAAACAAAAATTTTAATGAAGAATGCATTTTTCTCAAAATGTAAATAATAAAAAAGTTTTTCATCTTGTAAAGAACAATCCGGGAACATACTGTAGAAATCTTTGTTACCTATTATAAAAACTAATTTTTAGGGATTTTGTGATCAACTTTTGATCTAAGCTTTAGACAACTTAGACCGCTTATCCAGCATTTTTGTATCCAGGCAATATTTGGCGCACTTATATCGACATATTGTTCCTCTTTGTATAAGGTACTCTTAGCATAAGTAGTTTTAAACAAAATACTTTTATAGGTCATAAGTTTCTAAGCATAGCAGTCTATGCTTTAGAAGTGAATTATAAATAAAAAGTTGGTTGGCTTATTTTATAGTTCCCTAAGCTATATCGTTAATTTCCTTCTCTTTGTCGATCTCCGCTTTGCTTTTTAACGGTTGCAATTCTTTTCCTTCTTGGGTTGAGGTTTCGACCGAGTTCCATTTCTGTAGCTTACCGCTGCCGAATACGAGATACATCAGGGCGCCGAAAACGTACGTAAATACCAAAATCCAGAAAACGTACTTCCATGTTGCGAAAGAACTCTCCTTGTAGGTTATAACAGCAACGACTTTGGTGGACAACCAGCCGCCGAAACTGGATAAAGTGTTGGCCAAGCCGAATATCGTGCCGGAAAAGTTTGGAGCAATATCCAGACCGTTGGCCAAGTAGCCGGCTGTTACTGCGCCGTTAAAGAACAGGCTCACTGTGAAGACGGTGACGGATAAGATGGCGTCCATGCCCCAGAAAACTTGGATGATCATGAGGAGTCCTGGAACGAATACGGCGAACGTGGTAAAGAACTTCCTGGTGGCTGTAGTCGAGAGCTTTCCGGATTGACGGAGTTTGTCCGCCAAGTACGACGAGATGACAGCCATGATGTACTTTCCTGAAAAAATAATTAGATGTAATTGAGGCGTCAAGTTGCAAAACCCGCCTTATCCATTTTTTTTTCAATGGCCTAATGACATATATTAATAGTGGACCCTGAAATCTACATAAGCATAATCCCAAACTGGCAGTAAAGTTGTTTATTCCTATATAAAATTCACTACAAATTACATTACTTTAGCAAAATCCGTCTTATCCATCTATGTTTGCTTTTTATTGTCATTACATTTACAATAATTTATTGTTACAAATCCTGCATTTTTTCATAAGATTTTTTCACAAGTATAATATTTAATATTACTACTGGTGTCTCTTCAAATCCTTACTTAATTTTAATAAAATAGTATAGTTAATAAATCAAGTTAGGACGCAAATACTGTATGATCGAAAAAACGGCGCCCAGTCCATATAAATTTACATATAAAATGACAGCGCTCTCCACTTCATAGCCGTCGCTGACGCCGCGCCGCTCTTTGTCGATCATACTGTATCAAAACCCGCAATATGCATCATACTGCAACAAAACCCGCCTTATCCGAATTATTTTTGTGTTTTTTGGGGTGAATAGTATATAGGATATTTTTAATAGAATATTTTTAAAGCTTATAGTTGGAATCTTTGGTTTTACAACAGCAAAAAAAACAACTAAACTAATAACACTAATTCACCAGAATACACCAAACACATTATTTTTAACAATGGAAACCAGTAGCGGCTCGTCAGGGTAGGCAAGGTAGGCGGCGCCTACCTTAAGATTTTGGCAGAATTTAAGCGATTTATTACATTACATTATTTACTATTAATGTTGCCAATATATAAAAATACTGTTAATACACGGAAGTGTGTTTTAATAATCAATATTATTTTAGTATTTGTGGTCCTGTATATCAACATATTCACTACCGCTGGCGTACGCTGACCGCTGACTGTACCGCTGCCGCTGCGAGAAAATAAAATAATTTTGACCGTTGGAGTGCCTTTGTTCGGCGATTTCTACATCGCCTACTATCAGAGTCGATGCACGACGTACGACAGTCTTCTGTCTCTGTCTAACTCATCGTGCGGTAGCGACGCGACGTAAGTCGGAGTTGTATCATATTAAGGCGGGGCTTAGGCGAAATCTCCGGTCGTCTTCGCATGAAGTCGTGGAGGGTCGGTAGGCTTAGATGTTAAAGGGATATTCCGGATATTTCATAAGGAGATATATCACATTTCGTTAAGGGAATATTTCATATGATTCGTTATACGTAGCATTTAAAACTTTTATATGAAAAGTCAAAAAACGTTTAAAGCAAATTGGAAACATTTTTCGGGCTTGTCCGAAATTATTAAAAATGATATAACCGGTTGTATTTCAGAACACGCCACAGAAATAAAAGAATCCGAAATAAAAAAGCTCGTTATTTTATTCGGTGCAAGAAGACGATACAACAGATATTGCAGAAAAGTCTCTGTGCTATTTCAATTTGATGTGTTAATAAAAGCGGCTAAGTCAAATATCTTTGCGAATTTGATTTTATGAAATATTAGATAACATTGTTATACATTTAAAAATAAGGTTTGCAGATAGATACTCGTATGTCTCAATTATTTTTATTTATCTCTTGCGGATCCGAAATTTAAAGAATCCTATAAAAAAATTCCAACGCATTTAATAGTGATTTAACAAACAAAAAATGTTATTGACCAACATAAATTAATAAATAAATTGTAGGTATTAATAATAGATATGATAATTTCGAGCATAAAATAACTTAAGGAGAATAATCCTCGAAATATATTTCCAGAGGCTTTCAAATTGTGTCTTTTGTTTGTTACTACACCATTTACAAGTACTTGGGTTGAGAGACATTTTTCATGTTTGAAATGCATTTAAATTTATAGAGATTCCATGAAAAATAAACGTTTATCGCCACTTGCCTTACTTTCAATCTAAAAATATCTTTTCATAGCTCTTCAACAATGTGATGATTTTACTGATATAATACCATTTCAGCATCATCAGTAGATGATTAAAACTTAACTATTATTATCCTTGTTTATAAGGCTATTATCTACAATTTGAGTATTAATAGAGGTACTCTGTTGGTACTGACCAAGCGTGACAAAATGAGCCAAGCGAGTCAAAATCTATCTAGTGTAAAAATTAATTAGGTACCTTCTATTGTCTAAGTTGTTCTCTGTCTAAGCTTGGACAAATGTCGAGATGGAAATATTTTTTTACGATTTTTGTACATAAAACAACTAGTAGTGGTAAATTTTGTTTACCGTTCATTTTGTATAATTATTTATCATATCCCATATTACCCGCCATACCTATTCCATATTACCCTCCACTTTTTTTTGACTACACAAAAGTTCACATTTCTCTATATTCTTTTTTAACTTCATAATCCTTCTAGATATCTAATTCTTATAGGAGATGACTCTTTTAAACAATACTACTAGCTATCTATTTCCAAAATTTGAGATTAAAAAAAACAATATTATTGAATTTATATGGAAAAATATAAATGATATTCCATATTACCCGAAATTAATCTAATAATTATTTGTAGAAAAACGAGATACGAAACAATGATTCCACTCAATGGACAGGTTTTTTGTAAATTAACGCTTCAAACATTTACTAAAACAGTTTTTCCTTATTATCTCCAAACAAGGTTTGTGGGATAAGGCGGGTTTTGCAACTTGACGCCTCACTTGATTAAACTATTTTGAAATCCGGCTCTGTTTTTTTTTAATTATTTAACTTTAATATACAGGTTGTTAATTTGTTTATTACTCGCGGCAAAAGCTTTATGGTTGAAATATGGCAACCTCGGCCCGCTCGTCGATAGAAGACGCGACGGGACGAGTCGGCAGAAAACCCTATAAGTGCATGTGCTCTCAATAGGCAGTGTTGCCATTCTGTTTCCCTATAAGTAACTGTCCAGTTAACAATCTGTATTTAAAATAATCGTAACAATATTGATGAGCGGCAAATAACATTGAATAAGGAAAATCGAGCCAAATAAAGATTCAAATAAGTAATATCCAGATCAGTGTCTTAAAGATATTATTTTTACCTTTTTGTATTATGGATTTGAAATCAGAATGTAATGATCTAATAATATAATAATAATATTAATCGTAATTATAAATAAATCAACTTCTATAAACCAGTTTCTAATGTTCTACATGTTTCAATTCTATGTATAGCCATTTCAACAGATCTTCTTCTTATACTTCCGAATGTGTGCATTTTGTACTCTTGGTTGTTAATGTTGAGGTGTATTGATTTCACTTGTACAAATGACGTCAAGTAATAGGAAAATTTCCCTTGGCGACAGGTCCAGGAACCTCGGTGTTCATGATTCTGCTCCACGCTGTTTATATTATATTTATATTATTTATTTTATATTAGTTTTATATTTGTATTTAATTTTCCGTATTCAATGTTTAGCCACACATCATTGTTAAGTTTTAAAGTTCATCGGTATTATTACGATGAATAGATTAAATATTTTAAAAAGCCAAAGCCGGGACTTAAAATTAGTTTAAATAAATTGTGTTTACAGTTCGTCTGCTGGATCTGTGTCTATGAAAGGAATACGGACAAAAAACATTTAAATAAACAACAATATATTTTATACGTCGACTTGACGAGTACGTCACCGCAAATCGCTCCGCCCACTCATTTTATTAGCTACTTGCAAATTTATCGAATTTTTATTGATGGGACGCGTCGTCTAATTTTTTACGAAAAACATGGAGAGAATATCGTTTCCCCTATCACGGATACCCCGTAGCTACAGAACGGACAGACGTACTGTAAGTGTCCGAAATAAAATAAAAATATAAGTGTAGCATATCGTTGCACTCAGGAGACTTAAAAAAATTAAGTATGCCTGCCTATGTATTTCACAAATTATCGAGTAATTTAAAAATACTATCAGGTAGCCTTGATAAAGTGACCATGAGAATGTGGATTAATTTTAGAATTTTCTAAAAATTAACGACAGGAACAAATAAAATTGATTTTCAAAAAAATTGTATTTTTTTCTAAATAACCCAGCAATCCTTGAAATTTTTGAAACTTTTTTGAAACATCCCAAGGCGCAAATTTGCCACAATTTAATGATGTTTGTATCTATTACGGTTTCCGAGATACCAATGCCCGCACCTCGAATTTGTCGCGTCCTGTATATGTGTAAAATTATTTGTAATAAAATGGAATAAAAATGTAAAAAAATATTGATGTAAATAAGAATACAATATGATAATATCTGCAATTTTAAATAACAAGAAAGTATCAATTACTACTTGATAATCAGTTCTTGTAAATACTGTACCCTATTGCATATTAAATATTTTATGAAGGAAGCAAGTGCCTTGTAAATAAGTAAATATAATACTTATAAGTAATGACATCTTAATTAAGCACATCAATTGTTAACGATAAAAGAGACCAAATACGTCCACATGAACTTATATACAATCTACACGATATTTTGAAATTTATTAATAATTTGTCATTATTTATCTGGCTTTGCTATGCTTAATTATTCATATGCGTAATATTGAACTCAATAAATCATAATATTATTCTACAATTATATTTTTATTCCTATAAAAGCTCTATGATATGGAATATAAATGTTCCTTGAAATCTTTTACAATTGAGTTTCTTTTGAATATTTTATTGGTTTTTAATATTTTTACAATACGTTACATTTAAACGCTAAAAAATATAGAACATTTAAACATTTCCGCAAGTGTACGTACACTTGTATTTATAGTAAAAGTCTAATAATAAATATCTAATCTATAATGATCAAGAAAAAAAATATTGCCACTGTAGAAGTAAAAAAATATATTATATTTATTATCTATTGAGAAATGTTCTTATTGCAGACATAGGTGAAATTAAAATTCGAAGGATGTCTGCCAAAGTAGGTACCTACGTCAATGATCAATATGCAAATATTAATTACATGTAAATTAACAGGTACTTACTGTGATTATCGTTTATATAATTTAAACAATAAAGATTAGAAATCAGATTTTTTTCTGGCATATCGATAGCTATAGATGATTATTTCTCAATAATCGTGTATCATATATCTAAATACTGACGTCAGTATCAATTTTTATGCTGTATAGTGGTGTAAAAATGATTATACCATACGATCGAAAAAAAATCGACATCTAAGACGGCTAATGGCAATCGGTGATAGTTTGGCGAAGTCCTATATGTCATTTACATCCCTAGTGACACAAATTATTTTTAACTTTTTTAAGAACTGCTATATCAAATATATTCAGGGGCGTAGATAGTTGTATGCTATGGGGGTGGTACTATGATTAAGTCGCAAAAAAATCACCGTCGGAATTTTTTTGTCGAATTAAAACGACGGCGATTTTTTTGTCTTCAAAAATATATAAAACATAACACAAAAATTAAAATATAGATTTGTAAATAACATAAACAAAAATGAAACAACGACGTTTATTAGTTAATTTTCTATAAACTATAAATAAAAAACTCTAAACTATCAAAAAAAACTATAAAAACTATAAACTAAAAATAAAACTACAAAACAAAATCAAGTTTTCTAGTACGCTGTTTGGAAAACCTATCAATAACAGCATCAACATTTATTTCAATATCTTTATGGATATTGATTAGAGTTAACCCCACTAATCTGTCCTGGACCAATAAGAACACTTTGTATGCTTTTAATTAGGTCGAACATATTATAAACGATAAATCAACATAATTATACCATACGATACAAAAAAATCGACATCTAAGACGGATAATAATTCGGTGATAGTTTCATAGCAAGTCCTATTTCATTTACATCCCTAGTGACACAAATTATTTTTAAGTTTTTTAAGAACTGCTATATCAAATATATTTCGGCTAGAAAAAGTTCTTATAGAAATAATAGAGTAATTATATGCCTACAATAGGCGCAACTTATTCAGAAATGTAAGCTTTATGAACGCATATACACACACAATTAACAACAGCTTTTTTGAGAAAATTAATTTATTTATAAATCTGGTATAGGGGGGTGGAGCTCGTTTGCAGCAATTTGTTTTATAAATACTTTATTTTGGCTAAAAAATATAGTATATGTGTAATAATTACTTTATTATTAGTTAACGATCACATAAAGCATAAAATCAGATACTTTAGGTACGAAATAATTGATAAGTAGGTAATAAATTTGCTTTTGAACTTTAAAATACCTTAAATAACTCTTATATGCCAGTAATAAAGCAATGCTTCATAATAATTGAGGACTGCGTATTAATAAGATTAGGGTACCTAATAAAGTATTTAAAAATAGTATTTATAATAACAGTTATAAAGAATTTAACTAAAACAACCGATCATTCTATAAAGGCTGTATAAAAAAAACTTAAAACGCTAAAATATTCTGGATTTTTAATTGCTTTCTTAGTGCTAATAAGAAAGTAAAAATTATCTGGTAAGGTAAAGTATCTTATAAACTCTTTATGTAGTTTAAACAACAATCGTGTTCTAATAACCGGAGGTGGTTATAAATCACTTTTAAATATCTTTATTAATACTGATATATAAAAGGTTCATTATTTATATTTAGGAACGTTCTCACAGCTACATTATAAAGTATAATTGCTTAAATGGCCATTTAGTGTAAACTAATACTCTTATAAGAGCGATCTAACTGCCTCCGACTCTTTTTTATAGCATTTATAAAGAAGAAAATAATAGGAAAGAATATTTTGTGTCACTTGGCATGGCCCGTACTCTTCTTTATTTTTAATGGCGCTTACTGCCAGTTGGCCTTAAGAAGGTTTTAATTTTTATATTATTTATAAATTAAAAAATGTATATATTTATAATTTAAAAATTATTTTTAAATAGCGTAGTTTAAAATTTGAGAAACAATAATTTTTTGGAACTAGATTTGCGTGTCTGGAAACGTTCTATCTTTTTTTAATCTTTCTAATCAGTGTTAATTTTTGACAAGCATTATGTAAATTTTTAGTAAATTATGTTTAGAGATTGACCTCGCCAAAATTACTATCGATTGTCATTTCCCAGCCGTCTCTTGTATTAATACTAAGAATTAAATATTTACCTAGATACGGCAAGCTACTCAATAATCCGTTTTCTTTAATGTTGAAATGCAGAACATCCTTCATATATGTAGGAAGTTGATTCACAACGGTGAAATAACCGAATACTGAACACCCGTGAGTGACAACGATGGCCCACACTGGCATGCTCATGAAAATCTGTTTCCATGGGACACTGCTGGGTTTCTTGGACTTGCCACCTATATAAACAAACAGATCAAATAATATTATCATATGGTAACATGTAAATAAGATTCTTTATTACTACATGCGGTAAAGTATTAGGGTAGAAGCACCGGTTGTGGCCAGGTTAAGGGATTTTTAGAGTTTGACTTATGAGAAAAACTATTTGTAGTTAATTTTGGAGATAAAGCAAAATTTTTGGTGCTTCTCCAAACATTTTTTTTTTCAAAATCTGCTTTTATTGTAAAGATTTGTATTCTTGATAAACAGAAAATAAGCATATTATGAAAACATACAATTTTTCCCATTTGTGGCCACCTTGTGCCAAATGTGGCCACATTTACTACCATTTGTGGCCACATTTGGTTTGTATGTGGCCACATTTACTACCATTTGTGGCCACATTCTTGCAAAAATATTCTCTATGTTGAATTTTGCAGATAACAAAGCAAATATTATTATTTTATTTATTAATTTCTTTCAAAAAAGACCTAAAATAACATTTGGCACTTAATTGTTTATATTTTTAACAAAAAATAACATGAACGTTTATTCCTATAATTCTTAAAACAAATCAAGTGATACCTAATACCTTATTTTGCTTTTTGTCTGTTATACAAATGTTAAATAAAAATTAGGTACATATTACTACTACTGTGAGGAACAATAAGCAAAGTACACTAATTTATCAGAATATTCTTGAATATTTGTTAGTTCAGGTACCACATATATGCCTCTCGAATTGACTTTTTTAGATTCATCAATTTTCATTGTTATATCACTCAGTTTGTACTAAAGCAAGTAATTTTTACTTCCAATTGCCGCAGATTTGAACCATTATAGCTATAATATTCATTATTTTCAATTTGTAATATTTTTCCTGGATTCAACTAATTTCTGTACTTTAAAATAATAAAATTTCCTATATTTAATTCACCAGATGTCACAGAAGTTTAAGCTGGTGTTGGTTTCTCTTTTTCATTTCTACTGGAAAGATCTTTATTTTCTTTAAATTTTATTTTAATTGTTTTCTTTTTTGTAAAGTTTTCATTGTCAGTTTTTGTTTTTTTCTCCTTTCCTTTCATTAATTCAATCCACTTATCATAGGTAATGACTAATGGTAGATGTAGCCTCTTTCTTTTTAATGATTAACATCTTCCCGGGCATTATCCTATGTCTACTAGTCTTCTTTTCCTGCATGGTTTGGTCTAGTGGTCCTGAATCATCTTTCTTTGAATTCCCATAATTTTTAGTGTCATCGCATTCGTTCAAATTTATTCCATTTAGTTCTGTATCTATATTATTTTCTATATTCCTTTTCTCATCTGAATTAAAACTTGATGACGATATATGTTGAGATTGGTAATCTTGGCCGATAATTGTATTTGGGATATTATTATACTTAGGTACTATTATTCAGCTTTTATTAAAAGCTGAATAATAACAAATAAAATGTTCATATTATATGTTGTCCGTCGTTTGCACTTATATTATAAAGCTAAATAATATGTGGCCACAACTAGATTTCGATTGCACCATTTTTGGCCATAACCTGGCCACAAGTAGAACATAATTAAAATTTAATTACACCTTTTGTGGCCACAGAAAGAATTCCTAAATATTAATTATTTATTTGAATATAATAAATCTAAAAAATAGTTGCCAGATGTATAATATTTATTAAAATCATGGAAAATTAAACCTCAATACAGATTATTGTTAATAATTTGAGTTCTACTTAACAAGCTATCCTTAAGAAATAGGTTAAGAAAACAGTATCTAGTAAATATGTGCTACTACTTTTTGATCTAACGGCCGACTTTTACACCAAATTTGAATATTTTCTATCGAATATGGCGCTGGATATATCTATTTAGAAAATTATAGATGCACGGTTGTCACAATGACGTGAAAAAGCTTAAATTTTAAGATTTTTTAAAGAAGTGGCTACAACAGGGTCAATGGCCACAAATGGTGCGGCTACTCTAATACAATATTTCAACTATTTCTAATAATTTTCTTCACTGTATTTTAATCTGTTCCATATCATTTATTATATACTGGCATGTACCGCGACTTCGTTCGCGTCGAATTAATCATTTGTAATGCTGATGATAAAGCAAAGCAACAATTTCCATTAACATACAAACTGGATAAAATTTTCTCACATTTATGTCAGCATGAGAAAAACAATATGGCGATATTATTATATAACTTGGTAATATTTGAGGGGTAGTTCCATCTCGTTAGAATTTGACTTTCGAAAAATTCGTTTGCCAAAAATAAGCTTTTTACGTCAAGCAGTTTAAGCAGAATCGTGGTTTTTAATGACAAAAGACATTTTTAATTTTTCTTTGATTCTTTCAAAAATAAAAGAATACCAATATAAACTAAAGTATATCCAATGAGCCAGAGAAGATTTTTTTACAAACATAATTGAAGGGGTGGCTGCAATAACCAGGCATTTTTAATAAATTTGTGGGAAATCGAAAAATAGTTGCTCGGTTCTTGCTGCACACCCAGAGCAAGATAGCTCCAACTAACGTCGTCATTTGTACTGTTATAATGAGAGAACTGATTCTTGCAGGAAACAATTGGCCAATTTTTTTAAAGGGCAATTCATTAAAAATCTTATTTTCGAAAAAAAGTGGATCTGCCTGGTTATTGCAGCCACCCCTTCAATTGTAACTGTCATGTATCCCCTCATTGCACAGAGTACCGGGTGGCCAACTAATAATGGACGCCGGCTGTATCTCAGAAACTACTTATCGTATAACTTTGGGAAAACAATTCTAATAAGTAAATCGACCAAGAGAAATCGCTGGAAATTATTTTCAAGTTCGAAAAATGCCCGCTAGGGGGCGTTTTTCTAAGAGCCAATCAGAAAACAGAGTTTTTCTCAAAAATATGCAGGTGAACAGGTATTTTAAATATTATTATTGTAATCATCGAGAAATTTGTAATTTTTTTGATATAGAGTATTTTGCTCTATCTCATAAAATAAAGTGGTGGGGGAAGGTTAAATTTGCTTTTATTAAAATAAGGATAACTCTGGTTTAGGTTACGCGATTTATACAAACTAGGGCTCGTTTAAAAGACCTTTTCTTCCTTAATGATCCCCAGTATACATTTTGTTTCCACAATGTTCTTTGTGGTAGCTAGAGATATTTTGACGTAACCAATTTACCATCTTTTTGTTTCTTAGCCTACTACTATAATTTTTAGACCATATAATCCTAAGCGGCAGCCTAATATGATTTGTTCTCTTAATATCTCCGGTTTGCGCTGATATTTTAGAAATTTTGTGCTCTATTTAACTGTGCAAAGAGAAATATAGCCTCCTATTTAATTTTTTTTAGCAAAAGCGCAATATCTGTTATGATGTCAAACAGCGCCCTCGAGCTACTACGAAGAACATTGTGGAAACAAAATTTATACTGGAGATCATTAAGGAAGAAAAGTTCTTTTAAACGAGCCCTAGTCTGTTTAAATCGCGTAACCCAAACCTGAGTTATCCTTATTTTAATAAAAGCAAATTTAACCTTCCCCCACATCAAACACAATAGGCCTCACAGGTCGCAGTGTTTCCGGCAGAGGACGGTCCCTTATTGTGGAACCTTCCCCCACCACTTTATTTTATGAGATAGAGCAAAATTCTCTATATCAAAAAAAAATTACAAATTTCCCGATGATTACAATAGTAATATTTAAAATACCTGTTCACCTGCATATTTTTGAGAAAAACCCTGTTTTCTGATTGGCTCTTAGAGAAACGCCCCCTAGCGGGCATTTTTCGAACTTGAAAATAATTTCCAGCGATTTCTCTTGGTCGATTTACTTATTAGAATTGTTTTCCCAAAGTTATACGATAAGTAGTTTCTGAGATACAGCCGGCGTCCATTCTTAGTTGGCCCCCGGTACAGTGATGCAGGGTGTCCCAGGCTGAGCGTGCATTAGAAATTTATAAAGAAGTACATAATCTAAATCGGAGTTTTTTTGAACATCATTGTTTCACAATGAGATCTATCGATTAAAAATATTTCCAATATGTCGGCACTTCCGGAAATACCGGAAGCTGACAGCAACTTTCTTATTTTAAATGGGTATCCCCGTTTTTTACTACATATTTAAATTCTCTATAAAATTTTATGAATTTTTATATCAAACACTCTACAGGGTTGTTCACCACATACGACACGGAGTATTGTAGCTAAACGATTAGATTTTTACAAATTGTAAGTTTTGGGTTCGTTGAAGGACTATTAGAGCTACAAATTAAAAATATTTTTACAAGATACAGAGTGTCCCAAATAAATAAAAAATATCAAAGTTGTATTTTTTTAAATGGAACACCCTGTATATTATTACATTTTTAGTTTCTATGATTAAAATAAAGGTAAATTTGATTAAGGTTTATTACACTTAAACCTTACCGTGTTTGAAATATTTTCAATTTTGCGAAATTGCAGTATAAATTTTAAGGCTTCATTTCTCCGAGGATATCAAAGTTTTTAAAACTAAATATTTACTGAAGTTTATTTATTGGTCAGTTATTGAGTTGCAATAATAATAATTATACTACCTTATACAGAGTGTCTAAAAATTTATTTTAAATAATTACTAGCTTTAAACGGCAATAACTTATTTAATTTAAATAGAACACCCTGTATATTTTATGAGAATCAGATGCACAATTTAATTGTCTATCAAATTGTATTATACCACTTCTTACCTATTCCTTCAAGTTTTCGTAGAAAATGCATTTTCTTATAATTTAGACCTCATTTATCAATATACCCATGGAATATTGACATTTTAGATTGTTTTTAAAACAACAAATGTACAAAATGTACAGGCTACTAATACTATCGTTTTTAGTAAAACGATAATATTACTAGCCCATTTGTATGCAAAAAGAAAACTATTTAAATCTTTATAAAAGAGTATACCATTAATTAAATATACCACCAGTATTTCCGCCCAAATACTAATTAACTACATACTTAATTGTGTTCGTTAATAAATTATTCTAAATAAATATGGATTTGAATCAGAAATCAATATATTAATAAGTTATGAAATGAACGTCTCTGTTGTTATAAATAAGCATTTGTCAAAAAATTAAATATCATTTTTAAGGTGTTACTTTTTACCACACTGTCTAATACACACGCATAATTCAGTTTTTTAGTAGCTGTCTAATACACATACATAATTCAGTTTAGCAATTATTATTAATCAACGCAAACAGTCAATTAATGTAGTTTGAATACTGGAATCATATTAACTGGTCCTCTTTAACAAATATTTTAACAGTTTTTTTTTTATTTTTTAATGAAATAAACAAACTATATCAACAATATTAGTATCTGTACTCTTTAAAAATTTGCTACACCTTTAAAAATAATCTAAAATGTCAGTATTCCATGGGTATATTGATAAATGAGTTCTAAGTTACAAGAAAATACATTTTCTACGGAAACTTGAAGAGATAGGTAAAAAATGGTATAATACAATTTGATAGACAATTAAATTGTGCATCTGATTCTCATAAAATATACAGGGTGTTCTATTTAAATTAAATAAGTTATTGCCGTTTAAAGCTAGTAATTATTTAAAATAAATTTTTAGACACTCTGTATAAGGTAGTATAATTATTATTATTGCAACTCAAAAACTGACCAATAAATAAACTTCAGTAAATATTTAGTTTTAAAAACTTTGATATCCTCGGAGAAATGAAGCCTTAAAATTTATACTGCAATTTCGCAAAATTGAAAATATTTCAAAAACGGTAAGGTTTAAGTGTAATAAACCTTAATCAAATTTACCTATTATTTTAATCGTAGAAACTAAAAATGTAATAATATATAGGGTGTTCCGTTTAAAAAAATACAACTTTGATATTTTTTATTTATTTGGGACACTCTGTATCTTGTAAAAATATTTTTAAATTGTAGCTCTAATAGTCCTTCAACGAACCCAAAACTTACAATTTGTAAAAATCTAGTCGTTTAGTTACAATACTCCGTGTCGTATGTGGTGAACAACCCTGTATATCTAACATTAACCGTTTTTGAAAAAAAATATTTATAATTTTTGGAGGAAAAAACTGCCTGTCAAAAAAAAGTATATACCCTAAACGTCAAATCTATATAGTGATTACCACAGCCACACAGCCATAAAGAGAAGGCATGTGGCCAACTATTTCAAAAATTAGATTGTTCGAATGTCATATGATATTGGCCGTAGCTGTCACCATGCTGTCACGGAATTGAGCTATTAAAAAATAATCATAAATGATTTTCTTCAAATGAAAACCTACTTTATTAATTTAACTAGTGAAAATGTTTTTAAATTCGTTACTTTTTGATTATACGTGTTCCTATGCCTAAAATAAATCTTTTTTAAGTTATATAAGATTTAGTTTTAAGCGTAGATTTTTCCGGTTTTTAAGTAGTAGCCTAATGACTTTAAACGTCAAGCGATGTAAAACAATTTAAAAAAAAAACTTGTTAAAAAATCAGTCGTCATTCCCAAGCCAACTTTGCACCGTTGTTTTTTCAATCATATGCTATATTTTTAATATCAACTACTAAATATCACTGAAATACGAGATATATTTTTACAAATACACTATAAAGTTTTAGCAGGCATTATTATGCAATTATAATATACGAAATTCAAATAATTAGTCCTCTGAAAGGAAAGGAAGCTAGATCAAATCAAGAAAATATACGCTTTAAAACTAAATCCATTTCTATTTGAAAAAAATGATTTATGATAATTTTGGATAGATGTCTTCTCTTTATGTCACAGGCGCTGTGATAATCACTAAATTTGACATTTAGATTATACACGTTTTATTGACAGGCATTTTCGTTCAAAAATTATAAATATTTGTTTTTTTCTCACAAACGGTTAATGTTAGTTTTTAATTTTGATATTAAACACTCTATGTTTAATATCAAAATTCAAAAAATTTTACATTATTTATTTTTTTTTAATTTAGAATTTATGTATGTAATAAAAAATGGGTGAAAATAAGAAAGTTGCTGTCAACTTCCGGTATTTCCCACCATATTGAAAATATTTTAATCGGTAGATCTCGTTGTGAAACAATAATGTGCAAAAAATCTCCGATCTTGGTATTATGGTTCTCGATAAACTTCGAATGCATGCTCAGCTTGGGACACCCTGTATGCCTCCTGAAACGTTAAGCATTTTTTGGCGATTGTGGTTAGGAAAATTTGTTTAACGAGTAAAAAAACACTGAAAAGCTGTTTGGATTCTATGCAGTGGTGTTTACAAAAAATTACTTTTTTATTTTTTAGATTTCCCTTCAGCGGCAAAATATCAAATAGTGTTTTTCAGGAAATTGCGTAATTTATTTTGTAAACAGAAATGTTTCAACCTAAATTGTATAAAATGTAATAAATCCATTATTATATATGAAAATAAATATCTATCTTTACCTTGTCCGTCAGCAATTTTAGTTTCAATTTCGAGTCGTTCCTCCTTGGTGATTCGTGGATGTTGAGCCGGAGAATCGTATATCAGAACGAACCAGAGTACCGACCAAACTATGCCTACGACACCTGTGACGTAGAACACGCTTGCCCAACCAACGGTACTGATAAGATACCCGCAAACTGGCATGGTTAATGCTGCTCCCAAACTGGAAGCCATCATGTTAGCGATAAATTTGGACCTAAAAAGAAAACAATCGGTATTGGTAATTCAAAAAATAATACTAAAAAGCAATAAATACACTGTATAGCTGCCAATAGATCATCATACTTCAGAACAAAATTATTGTACAGGGTGCCATTTTCGTGTATATTATGGGTATTCTCATTTATGAGTATAGAGAGACAAAAATGAAGCTTTCACATCAAGTGAAAGTGCTACTTTTTTATGAAACTAAACATGCCACTCATATATATTGTCCTAGCCCTCCTAGTTCATGAAATACAGGGTGAATTTAATTTTTTTTTTTTATAACTTATGGAAAAGGTGAAAACTGAGTCCCGTAGAATTCTTCACGTAGAATCAAGTGGCGTAAATACAATATGAACGAAAAAACGGCGTCAGCGATGGTTATGAAATGAAGATCGCTGTCAAAATATATGTAAAAATATATGGGGAATATGTCATCGATCGTCATTTCCAAGCCAACTGGACATAGTTTTTTTCGAGCATACGGTAGTTTTTAGCTGAGAGCTGTCATTTTCGAAATATGACTGGCTGCATTTATTGCCGTGGGCCGTGGCTCTCTAGATTGAATTTTAAAATACTATTTTGTTTACGCCAAATGATATGTCATTCCATTCAGAAAGTAATTTTCATCAAATAAAGTAAAAAAATACCGATAAATAATAAGATAAATGATAGGGTATTTTTGAAAAGTGATTCACCCTACAGGGGTATATACTTTTTTATTTTTTCAGATAAAAAAAAACGAAATTTGGTACGTAAATACAATATGACATAAATCGCGGGACTGATTGATGAATTCAATTATTTTCGGTCACTTCCTGTTTCACCGGAAATGGCTACAACTTTTCATTTTTAAATGGTACCCTCGGTATTTTTTACTTTATTTGATAGAAAATTACATTCCGAATAGAACGACATAATATACGTCAACATTTGACATTTTCGCTTAAAAAATAGTATTGTAAATCTCAATTTAGAGTGCAATGGCTGTGTTAAAACCATTAATTTTTAATCAAGGTGTTTTGGAAAAATAGATTTGATCATATAATGTTTTTTATGACTTTTCCTGTCCGGCTAAAAGATGCCTAAATCATATTTTTAATCATAATTCAATATTTTCAAATGGAACGAGAGTGGCTCATTAGCATATATGGAAAAAGCATTTTTTTACGAAGAGTTTGGTACTACATACTTGGTATTTTGAGTCAAATTGTCATCACATTTATCGCCGTGGCTCTCTAGAATGAAATTTAAAATACAATTTTTTAAGCGAAAAAGTCAAAAATTGACATATAATACGTCATTCTATTTAGTATTTTCTATAATATAATGTAAAAACATACCCGGGGTACCATTTAAAAATAAAAAGTTGTAATCATTTCCGGTGAAACAGGAAGTGACCGAAACTAATAATATATGTCAATTAATCCCGACTTATGTCATATTACTAATATACCAAATCTGATCTTTCTATCTAAAAACGTTATAGGAATGAGCCACTTTTGAACAAAACCAATGGACAATACTAATAATAATTTGAACAATACTAATGGATAATATAATATTTTTCCGTTATAAATATGAACATTATTAAATTACCAGCATTGTATAAATCATAAATAACATAAATTATCTTTAAATATTGTATTAAATCTTACCTACTCCTATTTAATATGTTGATATAGAATTTAGTTTAATCTGTATATTGTATATAGTGATATAAGTGACCGCCCCCTTGGGAACGCCTATTATTAGTTTTTATTTGTTTTTAATAGCTTTAGGTATGAAACATGAACCTTACCAACCCTGTTTCGTGATTTTAACGTAAATTATTTCCGATAAAGCCTTCAGGAATAAGCACATAACTGTCACTCCCTTAGACAAGCTAATAAAATCAAGAACAAATTCCATCATATTACAGCATGTGTTAAAAATATCGTCGGTATACAGGGCGATCTGGAAAATTCACGAGAACCTAATAATAATTTACCATTATACAAGGATTATACTAAGGGTTAGTTTTGGGTCGAGATTTCCGTATGTGAGAAGAGTACAATGCGTTTATAATGTACTGAACAAAGAGAGAACAGTAGAAACGTTGCCAAACGTATGAAATAAACCGAGAAACTGTGCACATTGCTAAGAGACTCAATCAGTAGGGATGACAACATTTGAATATATATCGATAAATCGTATAATTTCCTGTCCAAATCAGTATTTAAAATTCTAGAAAAGGGTGTGCCTACATCAGGCTGTCAGCTTAACGATTTAATTATGTCTAGCGATAATTGTAATTTTCCTTATATCTTGTAAATCTTTAAGTGCAAGTTAGAAACACTTGGTAAAAATAAGTGGAATTGAGTTGGTGATCGACAGTGGTCGCGCTATTAGAAATAATTGATTAAAGTACACTAAAAGTAAATGGACGGTTTTTTAAAGTTTTTGTATGAATAAAAAATAAGCCTTCGAATCATCGATCCGATCGAATCAAAAAGATCCGAACTTCAAAATAAAAAAAAGTTTTAATACCTAAAGTAGTTAGTTTGTAAAAAGTTGAGTTTTTAAATTATCTGTTTTATTTTATTTATATTATTTATAGTTTTTAATATTATAGTTTTTAATTATCTCTTATTACATTCTCCTTATAAAAAATGGATACACTAACGATATCCTTATAATTCCATTTCAGATGCTCAGAGACATATCTAATGATTTTATCTAGTTCTCTTTTCGAAAAAAAAGTCTTTTATAAATAAGCGGTTTGCGATCGTGATTTTACTTTGCTTGATAGGGAAAGGCGTACCGGAGAAATGTGGCAACGCCGCAACAGTACACCATCGCATTTCTCTCACTCCGACTTAATAAGATCGCCATGCGATTTACTTCCACACATGTAAATACCATATATATCATCTATTATTTTATTTTACCTGGGGGATATAAAATTATTGTTTGCGTGGCAACATTGTTTCTACAATTAATTCTCTTTAGGTTTATGTAGTAGTAAATAAAGTCTTTATCATAAACATCTGCTAAGTATCATATGATCGAAAAAATAACGCCGTCAAAGACGGCTGGGAATATTCAGCTGAATACCGAATCATTACTGAATCACTAGATGGCGCTCTTTCGGAATTCCCAATTAATGCTAATTTTCTCAAAAAAAAAGAAATAATATACCGTATACCATATGTATATACATAAAATTATATGGGAAATATCATCGATGTTCATTTCCAAGCCAACTGGACGCCTTTTTTTTTCGATCCTTCAGTACTATGAATTTCTTATCACATTTTATTTTGGAGTTATGAAGCGCATTAAATAATGGAAAAAAATAAAATTTGTATTTAAATTAAAAAATCCTTAATGTTGCGACACCCAAAATTCCAAACACACGTGCTTTGATTAAGGCTTGATTAAGGTTTGCAGAGCTTCAGCATTTTCCATAAAATTGCGAGCAATTTGTTACAAAACCATATAAATTATATGAATATCACTGTAATCACAAAACTTCAATCTATTTCCGTATTGTAACAGAATTTCAAATTATGTCTTTATTTTAGACAAAGTTTAGTCCAAACATAAGGAATATTTTGTTGATGTTTGGCCTTCAAAATCTTAAAAATAAAGAAGTTATCTAAAATTTGTGATACAATATGGATATATTATAATCCTTTATCTCTAATTTTCTTCTTCATCTGTGTAAAAATACCTAGCCAGTTTTACATAAAACGATAAACAAACGATTACATAACGTTAAATTTCGAACGTTTATGCCTACTTTTTCGGACTAGTGAAATGGACGCTTAAGACTGTTGTTACCTTTCCATGGGTGGAATCCAACTAGCTGCCATGGGAGGGATGGCGGGCCAAGTAGCTCCCAAAAAGAAGCCCAATACTGCCCTCAGTATAAGAATGACGTAGTAGTTCAAATAACAGGCTGCCGGTGTTAGCACTGTCAAAATGGAGGCCATCAACATACCTCCTCCGAAAATTTTTCTAGCTCCTACGATTTCGGCCATTCTGCCACCAGGGAGCTCAGTCAATACGTAACCCCAGAAGAAACTACCTGAAAGTTATATATTTCAATAATTTTATGTGAAGTTTTTAAGTAAAGGATCTAAGGGAAATAACTGACTTGCTAAACCCAGAAAATTACGTCTTTTGCTCTGTTTCTTTGAGAAAAGAGAACAGAGAGAAGAGTTATTTAAGCAACTGATTTTTTAAAAGCTTCAAGGGGGAAGGTCGAATTTAAATTACCTTGAATATTTCTGGGTTTGGGCGGGTTCGGACTTGATAATTTTGGCCCGTACAGGTCTCTAATTTAACGTCACCGTATTGTTAATATAAATAAAATAACAATAATTTTTAAGGTATTTCAAATTGATTCAGTGCAGTGCTTCAATATTTGTTATGTTGATACAAATGGTAATTCACATTGAATATTCTATTTCCAAGCGTGTGTTTGGTTCTATAAAGATTTTCTGTCTAGACGTTTATCTGTATACCATAAAACTGTAAAGGATGATTATTTTTTTTATTTTGAACAAAAGAAGGGTTTTATTTCGCAAATTATTAATAGTTTTGATTAGTATTTAAAGAAAAACACTTAAAATTTTACTTATTTTTAATAAATTGTATTTGACTCGTAAGGGCATGTCATACCTTCGTCCTTATAGAGGACGTATATGTCGCAGGCGTATCGAATAACTCGGCATTTTGCAAAAAGACTAGGCATATCATAAAACGCCGGTGTATTTAACAATAGAAGGATATTTTGCAAAGAGCCCATCTGTTTTTAGTCGCTTTGGAAAATGCCCAATGAAGACTAGTTAGGTTGCGCAAAACATTTTACGCGGTATTAGTAAAACCCTTGTCTATACAGGATGCTACAAATTCGAGGTACGAGCATTGGTATCTCAGTAACCGTAATAGATATGAACATGGTTAAATTGGGGCAAAGTTGCGTATTAGGATGTTCACCAAGATGCCATTAAAAAAGTTTTAAAAATTTCAAGGATTGATGAGTTTTTTAGAAAAAAACTGATTTTTTTGAAAATAAATTTTATTTTTTCCTGTCGGTACTTTTTAGAAAATCAAAAAACTAATTGCACATTCTAATAGCCACTTTATTACGGCTATTTGATAGTATTTTTAAATTTTCAAATTAGCTGATAATTTGTGAGATTCAGAGGCGAACTTTATTTTTTTAAATACGGACCTGCATTTTTTATTTCAGGTTTTGAAAGAACTCGGTCTCCTGAATACAATGATACACTTTATACTTTTTTTTTTGTTTTGGGTACCTTAACAGCAACAAAACTATTTCATTCTTATTTAAAATAACTTCAAGTCCGACTCTGGTTTCTTAAATTATTTAATTTGATTATATTCATTGCACCAATATTGATCAACGCTAATTAACACTGAATAAGGAAAATCGATTCAATTGGAAGATTCAAATAAATAATATCCAGGTTAGAAAGTTAAAGATATTATTTTTATTTTTTTTTATTGTGAGTTTGAAATCTCAATGTGCGATCTTAAGGCCCCCACAGACGTCGTTAATTTTCGGCAGGATTACTCGACGTGTAAAACTGTTCGGGTAATCACGAACTTGATGGCGCCCACAAATTTCTATACATTTCTATAAATTCACTGAAAAAATGTTTACTGTATTGCCGCAAATCAGCCATTTTATAATATACATAAATCACGTACATCACTGGCGATTTTTAGAAATATATATTTGGTCATTACCGGTACGCATACCACACACGGGCCGACTTGCACGATCACGTTCAAAACCGACGAGAAAAATCAGCTCAAAATAGATTATTTGGAACGCCGCGTCGGCAATCACGACGGTTTTCAGCCACACACCGACGGGATTACCCGGACAGTTTTGCACGTCGAGTAATCCTGCCGAAAAAGAACGACGTCTGTGGGGGCCTTTAGTATGCATAATATTAATCGTAGTTATTATAAATAAATCAACTTCTACAAACTAGTTTCTAATGTTCTATATGTTCGAAGGGGTTACCACCCTCCCTGTTGCACAGATTTATTTTTAGTACATTTTATTTATAGCTCTTTAAACTTTCTTCTTATACTTCCGAATGCATTTTGTACACTTTATTGTAAATGTTGAGATGAATTGATTTGACATATTACAGTTGAGGGTTGGAACTTTTGGTGTTACACAGCAAAATAAAAACACTAAATCACCACAATACACGAAAACACTTTTACTTTTACACTGGACGCGCGTTTCGCTAACCATGTTAGCATCATCAGCAGATGATTATAAACTGATTTGACACTTTTACAAATTACGTCAATTAATAGCGATAGGTTCAGGAACCTCGCTGGATATACTGCTTTACCATTTCCAATCCACCTTCCGGGAAAATGACTTTATGTAACTTTGCCCCTATTTAACCATGTTCGTATCTATTACGATTACCAATGCTCGTACCTCGAATTTGTAGCACCCTGTATACCATAATCAAGGGTAAAACTAACCTAAATTTATCCAACGACATTTCTTGAACTTCCCTTTCAAAATTAGAAAATTATGGAACAAAAAGTGATAAGTCTGTTAAATGGAGTATGGTTCTTCTTTCTCTTTCTCAGCCTGGTTCCATCCAGTGTTGGATATAGGCCTCTTCTAGGTTTTTCCATGCTTCGCGATCTCTAGCCAATCTTATCCATTGTCTTCCCGCCACTGCCCTGACGTCATCGACCCATCTCTTTTTTGGTCGGCCCACACTTCTTGTTGTTCCCCTAGGTCTCCATAGGATTGCTTCTTGGGGCCATCGGTCTGGATCCTGTCTTGCCACATATCCTATCCATTGCCACTTCAGACTTGCCACTCTTTTAACGACATCTATTAATTTTGTTTTTTGACGTATGTGGGTATTCCGTATTTTTTCCCTAATGGTTTGGTTTGATGATGATTCTTTCCATGGCTCCAACATGATTCTTTCCATGGCTCTTTGTGCTAGGAGTATGGTTAAGAACGATTATTATAAAGATCTAAATTCATTTTATTCTAAAAGATATAAAAGTTCCAAAAAAAGGAAGGAAAATTCCACAAAGAGGCAGCCCTGTACACAGAATCAAATTACAGAGTATAATAATTAAACGAGATATTAATACTAAGGTCTTAATATATTTTGTATTTAAAATTATGTTACCTATAACTATAATTTATGAAATAGATTTTGACATAAATTATTGTTTTTGTATAGGAAAATATGGGGTATTTTTTATTAAAGTGTAAATTATTCAATATGCTTATGATTATAGCTGAGTAAATTTTGGTCATTTTTTAATCTGCCTGGCCTCGATTTGGCATTTTGTAAAACGACTGAAAACAGGCAGTCTTTTTGCAGAAATGTACAGAAAATATCATTGTTTAAAGGGGCGTCCAGATCAGATGAGCGAGCAGTAACGAGCGCGAGCAAACATTTATTCAAATTCGCTCGTGATTTCTTCTGCTCTCGAGCACATGATCAGCTTCCGTCCAGACCTAGCGATTATGTTCATAATGTAGGAAAAAATTATTGCTTGTACGTCTTTCATTCTATTTTATAAATTGTTGAAACGTCAAAAGAGAAAACGACTGCAGAGGAGATGGTGGAACATAACACTTTTTAAAAATCGACTTTCTCATGGTGGTAACAATTTACTAAACGATGTTGAAACGGAAGATTCTGGAAAATTTAAGAACTTTTGTTGGATGTCACTTACAGATTTAATTACCTTATTAGATTTAATTGACATAAAAATAATGAAAAGTGATACCAATTACCGAAAAGCAATTTCACCTAGAGAAAGGCTAGCTATAACCTTACGGGTCTTGGCGATTTTTGTACTCCTCTATTAGTTCTAAAACAACTTCATTCGGCCATTCCATTTTTGATATTCGATTGCAAACGTGGTAAACAAAATCCCGTCCAACCCGAACGTGCAATAGCGCGAATTTTCTTTGATGTACCGACACGGTGTGGAACAGCATCGAGCGCGAGCAAGCAATCATTCGCTCGCTGACAGAGCCGTCCACACCAGTTAAGCGTTCCCTTAGAACATACCCGAATTCTTGCTCGCTCATCCGGTCTGGATGCCCCTTAATATTTCCTAATTCTGATTAGGCTTTTTGCAAAAAGACTGAAAATAGATAGGTTTTTTGTAAAAATTCCTTCTTTTGTTTAAAAAGTCGGCTACCAAAGTGAAAAACTTTTTTCGCCATTTTTAACCAATGATAAAAACTGATAAAAGCTTCTCACGATAGAAACAAAGAAACCAATAATAACTAATAACAATAATGTAGCCCACTTGGTAGTCAAATATTTAAACGCTGGATATATTTTGCATTTTTTTCCAAAAAATTAATAGTATTTAAAGAATAATTCTTGTATTTAGATAATATAACAAGATAATTTTATGATGTCAAATATGAAATAAGTGGAAACATATTTAAGGGTTGAAAATTGAGTTTTTTGAAAAAAAAATTGATTTTTTTTTGTTTTTGGTAAAACACAAAATTTCTTGACAATATGGGAATATAAGTAGTAGTTTAAATTTACAAGAAAGAAAATCCAGAAAAGATCAATGAATAGCGAAAAAATAGTCCGATTTTAATGAAATTTAGTATGTCGTTAGATTGGATCAAGGCCAACTTGACCATGTACGACATGTGTCACTGTCAGCCCCGGATCTATGGGGGGGGGCAAACCGGGGCACATGTATTTTTTTTTCATCAAAAACATGATGGTGAAAACCGCACATAGATATCTATTACCGTTTCGGAGTTACGGGGTGTTTTTCAAAAATGTGCATTTTTAACAAATCGCTGTAACTTTTTTGCTATGGAAAATTTTGTATTTCTATGAAAACATTTCCAAAGCACCTTTTTACGTAGAATTTAATGGTTTTAGTATAATTTTTTTTTATATTAATAGGTTAAGAGTTATCAACAGAAAAAATGATTTTTTATACGGTACACCCTATATATTTTTAATTAACTGAAAAGAACTTAACCTCATTAAAATTACCTTTCCAAAA